CTTGTTTCGCGAGTGCGAGCATTCGTTTAGTAATAAACCCGTGGTGATAACTGAGCCACAATCTAGGACAAAAAGTGTTAAGAATTTTGCACTTTCTTACTCAAAGGAGACTCGCCCTGCGAATTTGGCACCATGATGACCCCTTCCCCCACCTTTCCCTGGTCAATGTTGTTTAGTCGGGAGCAAAAATGTTCCGGCCAAACTTCAACAATTTTTTTGTTTACGAAGGGGGGGAAGGGGGAAGTACCTTAAGTGAACGGGGCTTTAGAGGGACGTATTCTAAAATTAGACATACAAGGTGCATTTTACTTAACATTTTTGTCCAAGATTGCAGCTGTGTCGCGCGCAAAGCTTTTAGGCCTGGGTTCGAAACTGTATCCTAGCAACATACAGCGCATGCTCAACTAATATCAAATTCAAGCAAAGTCTTTCTCCAGTATGCCAAAATCGGGAAAGTGATGGAAAAAGGATCTACAAGCATAGTGAGTAAAGCCTTACAATTGTGTGATTTGTACTAGCCCATTGTCATTCAGGTTACCACCGGAAACACCTGAACAACTTCCATTTAAGCCACCACAAAATGAACCCCCACCCCCTCCTGCCTGAAAAGAAAATACGCCGCTTCCTCCCCCAGAGTAACCTCCTCCCCCTCCAGATGCACCACCATCTTCGGCTCCCCCTCCCCCACCACCAAGCCCTCCTACTGCCCCTGGAGGAGGCCCTCCGTTGTAACCACTATTCTTTTCCCCAGCTCTTCCTCCGACCCAGCCTTCAGGGCGTGACCCGCCCCTTTCACCATGTACAGAACCCGATACGAGACATCCAGGACCAAACCAACAGGCCCCGACTCCCCCGCTGTGTAATCCCCCAGAATTACAAAGACCGGGTTGCCCTCCAACTCCTCCTCCTCGAAGATGAGCTGGGAATTTTCCAACAGAGCTGGTACCATCCTGGTGCCTGACCATCCACTCCGTTATAACCATTGGATGCACCCTCTCCCCCTCCGGCAGCTAACAAAAGTACATTACTTGTCGTATAAACAAAGCTCCCTCCCCCTCCCCCATTACCAGCATTGTCCTCTACAGACAGTCCCAGCTGAGCGGCTGTCAAGTTAGTGGAATTTCCTCCTTGAACCTGCACTGAATCTCCACCTTTTTATCCCACCACAATATTCAGTACAGTGCTCTCATTCAAACGAAACATGCCTTCCTTAATTGCCCCTCTGCCACCGTGATATGTCCCCGGGGTTATTCCATAGGTTGGTGCATGTGTTCCTCCTCGAGCACCCCAGGCTTTTACCAGATACACACTGGTCTTCGGAACTGTAAAATTTTGAATAATGCCATGATTTCCGATGCGTCCGTCGATTGTGAAGGAGAAAAAGGCTGAAAACAAATATATAAATGAGGGTTAGAAAAACAGATAGGCAAGCTCATTCTGCGCTAAAAAAGGCCCGATTTTCGACATATTCAGTTTAAATGACGTTTGTGGATAACTGTTTCTTGGGTTGTGGCATTGATTTCTTCTAATTTCCTTCTTCGTTTTTAGTTGAAAGAAGACAATACCAAGGCAATAAACAACCTTTTCCCCCCAAAACGCAAATCATACAAGTTGGTGATTTTAACCTACGGTAAGTTTAAAACGAAAGTGAATAAAAAACAAACAAACAAACAAACAAAAAATTTTGAAAATAACCGTTGCATGATGTTCCATTTCCAGTGTATCCAGTGCTGCATGTGCAGTTATAAAACCCCTGAGTGTTATTGCAGAAAGCATTGGCATCACAGTTATGGACGTTAGTCACACATTCATTAATATCTGGAAGGAGAGAAAGCAGCTGTTATTTTTGCAGGCAGGCTATTATGAATAGAGTAATAAGGAGAGAAAGTGGAGAGAGGAGCAACGTTGTATGTATATAATGGGGTGCTTCTGTTTCGGAGTTCATTATATAGTTTTATATGACTTGAACATGATTTACCGGTGCATGATGTTCCATTTCCAGTGTATCCTGGACTGCAGATGCAGTCAAAAGATCCACCAGTGTTATTACAGAAAGCATTGGCATCACAGTTATCGACGCTAATAGTACACTCGTTAATATCTGAAAGGCGAAAAAGGCCTGATGTCATGTCTGTAAATACTGAATGTTGCTATTAAACTTAATATACAACCGTTTGGTGCACTTAGGCGATTTACTGGTACACTCGTTAATATCTTAAGTTCTAAAAAGAAAAAACTTAAAGTTTTATTTATCAGTTTAACATATTGGCAAATACAAAGACAGAAAGGGGGTAGGATCAACCCATAATTAATTGCCATTTGTCTGTATTTTAGCTTTGCTGTTTTGCCAACAGAGGACTGAATATCAAAACCAAAGGCGATATCACTTAATATAGAGGTTTGCAATGCAATCTCCGAGAAGAGTTGAATTGGGGGGAGGGGGGTCATGTCTATGAAACAGGCCGGAATGCTTGTTCGAACCTTTTAGGCGTGTAAATTGCACATTTTTAAATCGTTCGCGCTATTAAAAAAAACAAAAATAAATAAACAAATAAATCGGGATGAATTGATAGTATGATAATAACCACTTAGGGTTGTGGCCAATAAGATGCAGAAATCAGAGTATGAATTGAAATAATTGTTTAATATTTACCTGTACAGTATGTTCCATTTCCGCTATATCCTCGATTACAGGAGCAGAAAAACGATCCCTCGGTGTCATTGCAATATGCATTAACATCGCAATTGTGGGTGTTGTTTGCGCATTCGTCTACATCTTTTAAAGAAAAAATGGTTTGTTACAATGAGTGGCGAAAAATATGTGTCGCGCGAGAAACATTACAAGACAAAACAGACGTATGGTAAAACAAACAAACGAAATGAGTTTTACCCCTGCACACTTGTCCATCTCCAAAGTAACCTGACTTGCAAGTACATCGATAGGATCCACTTGTGTTGTTACAAAAAGCGTTGACATCACATGAGTGATTGTTGGTTGAACACTCGTCAATATCTTGAGGAATTTAAAGGGGATATGTCACACAATGCATCAAAACTGAAACAGTGGGAACCATCACCAAATTGAATGCAACAAAAATAACCGATCAAAACGTTAAAAGATTGTATTTAAATACAGCAAATACAAATCTGAAATTTAGCAGGGATGTAAAAACTTGATGACGCGGATTGCAATTGTGGTTTTTGAAAACTTGTCACGCTAACAGTTTTTTGCAAAATGTATTTGTTAAAATTTGTTTTCTACTGTTTGATAGAATGTGATTCTGTCATTTAGAAGTTATATTAGTTACATATATTTGATAGCAAATAAGGAGTGTAACTGGCATTATAGACAAAATCATAATACGTTTCTGGGAAAAAGCACACCTACCCCTCCCCTAAACCAATATTAACACTTACTTCTCACTTAGGGCAAAATGTTGACTTAGGGGAGGGCCGGGGTAGGTGGGTAGTTTCCCACAAACGTATAACGATCCGTTCAGGATCGAATAAATTAGCCAGTCGTAGCTTAGCCTCTCCTTTTTTTCAGCAACTGTTATTACTGTTGTCATGGAGACACCAAGGCCGTTACCCTTTTTCAGTTTCAAAGCTTTTTCTTCACAGTGAGAGGGAGAAATGTTTGATGTTTAAACTTACCGTAAATCCCCTATTAAGACCTCCGGGGGAGGGGCTTATTTTTTCCAACCCAATTTGAGGGGGGGGGGCTTAATAGAGACGGGGAGCTTATTTGAGAGGGGGTTTATTTACTTAGAAATGACGATGGTATCAGTTCCCCATAAAGAACGTACTAGAATACAAAGTGGAAAAGCTCAAGTACAAGAAGGTTGGAAGTCATGCAGCCGAGGATCGGAATCAAATCCGAACTTCCAATTGGTAAATAAACCATTCCGGATCAGTCCACACGAAGTTCACATTCGCGATTGATTAATACAATCTATCATTTATTAGTGAAGAATAATTAGGAGAGGGGAGATGTGGGGGGGGGTTAATAGAGAGGGGATTTTTAACTTTCTTCCCCTTAAAAGGGGGGAGGGGACTTATTTGAGAGCGGGAGATTTAGAGAAGATTTACGGTAGTCTTTTTACAATCAACAAGATTATAAAAATGTTAAAGATGGTAAGGGCTATGCCACGCTTTTTGCCATACTTTTAAAAAGCTAAAACGCGTCTTTTCAGCAACTGGCCATTTCTAAGTTCTGTTTAAGCTTCTGTTTCAAAGTCGGAGGCTAAGTACGAAGCCATTGATATGGAAATGGTTTTTCCCCATACAAATAAAACTCATTTTAACAAAAAAGGTTTTGCACTTAGCCTCGTTTTGAAAGTGAGAATTTTTTGGGAACTCGGAAATGACGTAATTCAAAAGTAATGGTCCAGTTTTGTCAAATAAGGCTATATTTAGGTATTGAAACTGTTTCCTGTCGTCTGTTGCTACGAATGGCAAGGATTGACATGGATTGAAACTTGAAATAATTTATAATGCTACAAAATGTTGATACTATTGCTCTTTTCTCTACTCTGTCAAAGCCTGCGAATGCAGCCGACTCTCCTTGCTCATGTTTCGTGGAATGGACGTCTGCGCGCCAGCAAATTTTTAAGTGGCCGGGAGTGCGTACAGAAGACCAACAAAGGAAAAGCACGTAATACGGTCGAACCTCCCGTAAGCGGCCACCCAAAATGCGAAGATTCAGAGGTATCATACGGAGGGTGGTCGCTTTACGAGAATCGAACGATAGGAGAGACTTTTCCGATCTGAAGTCCTGACACATACTTCTTGAAAGAGAATTTACTGGATGCAATTTCTTCTTTCTTAAGCTCCGTGTTATCACTAAATTTTTTTCGTATACTCTGAGTAGCGCAGTTCATACAGAAAACATAGAGATCAGTCCATGCATCAACTAGTCTCCTACAAGATGTTAAATGCAGTGGAAAACTTGTCTCCTCAAAAAGTGGTCGCGGTCGTTTGCGAGAGGTTCCAACTATTAGTAATTTCAGTGGGAAATTTTGGGGTTTTGGATAAATGGTAGCCAACGAGAGGGGGTCGCACCTGGAGGCTTGACTATAAAATGAAATTCAAACAATGAATCAAAGAAAAGTATTAGCAATTGATTTTACCTAGGCACTCTTGTCCACTTCCATAGAACCCAGAATTACAGGTGCAGTTATGAGACCCAATGGTATTGTTACAAGAAGCATGCACATCACATGAATCAATGTTGGTTGTACACTCGTCAATATCTCCAAACGGGTAAAATCCTTTTAATTTCAGGCAGTTATAGCAGTGCTTAACGAGAGCGCAGCCCCACAGTGGAGAGTATTTGCTAATCTATCCATGATAAGTGACTGTCCATCCGCCAGTCCGTCCGCACCACAGGGAAACCAATGTGAAATGTCACACTTTGTGGCTAGAGTGGGAGCCTGCAACCTGATATTGCACATGCACGTTGTGGTCAGTCACAGGGTACCCACTGACCAGTATCACATGACCGTATCGCGGGCTCTGGTGTCGCCTCATCGACATTGTGTTTTTTGAAGTTATCCGCTGACAAGTTATTTTTTAATGATCCCTGGCTTAACTCCTAGTGGATACATGCATGGTTACAAGTTTCTTGCTTTAGCCTTGGCTAAATCGATATATTACTGTCACCGAATAGAGATGGTAGGGGAATTCGAAAGGGCTAAGGATGATGTAAAGATGTGTAAAGCTACCCTATTTGAGATATGTCATGGGAGCGACTGAAGCAATTGACTATACGCTTGATAGTACTTTTAAAAGTGATATCAAATAACAATGAAATATCTTAAGACAAGCAGGACTTGAAAACAGAGAATATAAAATCAGAATACTGTGTTTCCGTCAAAGGTGTAGCACAGTATAATGAGATTGATGGGGTCGAGGCTGGCTGATGCCAATTTGTTAGGAGAGAATTTGCTCAGAGAACCCAGGTCTCAGCCGAATTTGTTCCTCAAATCCATTGTCCGAGGCAAAAGTGCATAAAATTCCTGGTTGCTTTATGAGTTATCTAGTTTAATTATGTAGTAGGTAATTTTTTTAATCGTTCTCTATAGATGCTGGATCATAAACCATTCAATGCCCATTCTGAAATTACTGAGAATTAACCTCTTCGTTAGTCAATCCGCGCTTGTCGTATCTATTTATAAGCCTCTTTGTTTGATGTAAAGATTACAATTAGCGGGTTTTCGTAAACAAAACAGAATGTCAGTGGAAAACGCTAATGATAGAAGCTGTAATCAGCCCTTTAGAGATCATATAAAGAGAAAGCCAATAAATCAGTTAATAAGTTGGGTCAGTAGTTCATGTATGACCCCATGAAATGTCCTGAGGCACCAGTGCCATGTCGGGCCTCTTGGCACAGAGAGTAACAAGTGTAGTGAGTGTAATGAATTTAACAAGTGTAGTAAGTGTAGTAACTGTAGCAAGTGTAATAGCTGTAGTAGCTGTAGTAAGTGTAGTAAGTGTAGTAGCTGTCGTAGCTGTAGTAAGTGTAGTATCTGTAGTAGCTGTAGTAAGTGTAGTAAGTGTAGTAGCTGTAGTAAGTGTAGGAAGTGTAGTAAGTGCAGGAGGTGTAGTAAGTGTAGTTAGTGTAGTAAGCGTAGTAGTTGTAGTAGCTGTAGTAAGTGTAGTAGCTGTAGTAAGTGTAGTAGCTGTAGTAAGTATAGTAAGTGTAGTAGCTGTAGTAGCTGTAGTAAGTGTAGTAGCTGTAGTAAGTGTAGTAAGTGTAGTAAGTGTAGTAGCTGTAGTAAGTGTAGTAAGTGTAGTAGCTGTAGTAGTAGCTGTAGTAAGTGTAGTAGCTGTAGTAGCTGTAGTAGCTGTAGTAAGTGTAGTAGCTGTAGTAGCTGTAGTAAGTGTAGTATCTGTAGTAGCTGTAGTAAGTGTAGTAAGTGTAGTAGCTGTAGTAAGTGTAGTAGTTGTAGTAGCTGTAGTAAGTGTAGTATCTGTAGTAGCTGTGGTAAGTGTAGTAAGTGTAGTAGTTGTAGTAGCTGTAGTAGCTGTAGTAAGTGTAGTAAGTGTAGTAGCTGTAGTAGGTGTAGTAAGTGTAGTAAGTTGGATAGCAAGCTTCAACAAAATAGTACCTCATCGAGCAAATTGTCACGATATGAGCTTATACTTTTGGATTGCCTTGCAAGGAATACCAAAAATAAAGAAAGAAATAAATAAATCATTAAGTAAACATGGTTACCAGTACACGACGTTCCATTTCCGCTATATCCTCGATTACAGGTGCAATGATACGATCCCTTTGAGTTACTGCAATAGGCGTTGACATGGCACTTGGTGGTGTTGGTCACGCATTCGTTAATATCTTATAGAAGCCATAAATAAGTAAAAACATAAATAAATAAAAATCAATCGATCGATCACTTAATCAATAAAGCACTGTTAGGCCAGCAGAGCAAATCAAACTTTGAGGTTAACTTGTGCTGAACCAAATGTGAATAGGCGAGAACAATAAATTTTGCTCATTAGCATTTAGGTCCGGCACATTTGAAGTGAAGTTCGACGCTTGACAGAAGTCTTCAGGGAGGACCTCTTAGGATGGGGGGGGGGGGGGGAGGGGGGGGTTACGATGCATGTCTCTAGGGTGAATTTCAAATGTGATGGTTTCGCGTTTGGAAGAGTAGGCCATATCCTTGTTAGTATTTTACCCTTCTTAATGTCGTTTGTCGCCATTTCATCTGTCTTTCATCAATCAAGGCCATGTTGGTTGTCCCAATTTTACCTTAACAGGGCTTCATTAGAGATAGAGCAAGAGGAAGAATGCTTGACATGTAAATGAAAACTGAGAAACAAACAGAATTTCCCCGGTTCGCTGAAGAAAACCAGACAAATCATCCGCGTGATAGAAAGCCAAGAAACAGGACTAACAAAACGACAACAATGACAATGATTTTTACCAAAGCAGGCTTGTCCATTTCCAAAGAACCCAGGATTGCAGCTGCATTTGTAAGATCCATTTGTGTTGTTACAAAAGGCATTGACATCACATGTGTGACTGTTGGTCAATAAAACAAACAAACTCGTCAATATCTGAAAAGGAAGTTCTGTATTGAACCTCTTTTTATAACAATTATATTGTCATCGGAGGTCATATCGATTGCAAGTTTGTTAAAAACAAACACAACAACTTATTGCCCTAAGTAAGGGAATCCGGATCCCAGAACGTTTTAGGGAATCTTTGCTTGTGGATTCCGGAATCCAGGAAATGTTTGCTTACGGAAATCAGGAATCATGGGCTTTGGAATCCGTAAACTAGCTCAAGGAATCCGGAATCCCCTTAATTATTTGATTCCGGAATCCAAGTTCCACTGACATGGAATCCGAAATCCAGTACCTGGAATCCAGAATCCGAGGTGTGAAATCCAGAATCTAAGTTCGACTGACTGGAATCCAGGGGCCCGTTTCTCGAAAGACCCAGAAAATTTTCGGGCCCGGAAGGAAATTTTGAAATTAAAACCTGTTACATAGTATCACAGTTCTTGGCCCACAAACCAGTCAATTTTGCTTCGTTCACTAACAGTTACATTGTAATATATTCAAAATTATTGAAAATTTGATCTTGAACGCAAACACAACAAACACAGAACAACTTTCAGACTTTCCGGGCCAGAAAAGTTAGCGGGACTTTCGAGAAACAGGCCCCAGTACCTGGAATCCGGAATCCAAAGCGTGGAATCCAGAATCCGGGACTGTCTTAGATTCCCTTACGTGGGCTAAAAGTTAGCCAAATCATTATACGTTTCTGGGAAACTGCTCATCTACCCCTCCCCTAAGCCAACATTAACACTCTTACTTTTCACTTAGGGCAAAATGTTGAATTAGGGGAGAGGGGTAGGTGAGTAGTTTCCCAGAAAAGTATAATGACCCGCCTTAATTTTTGGTTGACAAACATGAAGTAGTTAGTAATCACCAGTGCAGATTTTTCCGTTTCCAGTGTATCCATTGTTACAAATGCAGCCATGGCAGTTTTCCAATGTTTTACAAACAGCATTAGCGTCACATAATTGAGGGTTGGTTGCACAGTCACCATTTTTAACAGCTATGTAATTAAGCACACAAACAAATTAGTGAAAGAGAGGATAACGGGTAAGGGATGTCATCTCATCATTGTAGGCGCTGTCCTGTCTCTTTCAAGTTATTTTTAGAAACAAAAATGGTGGACGAAAACCAAATCTCAAAACATATTATCAGATCAATAAACGCAAAAGTTCACTGACATCAATTATTAATTTTTATTTTTTCGCTGTTTTATTAAATAATTCACTTCATGAAGCTCTTTTGCATTAAGTCATGCAGTCAAATGGTGCAAGTTATTCGCTTGAAATATGTTATTAACTCTAATTTATATCAAGGCATGTGTTCAAAACAAGGCCCAACTCTGCGCGAGCTCTGCTTGCATTTCCGGTTACGTACTTTCCGATAAGGAACAGAATCAAACTATATACAAACAACTGTGTTGGATAAATCTGGCCACGGTTGTGGCAGGTTTAATGAAATCAAAGGTAACAGAATCACAACACATCGATATATGTAAACCGATTAACCTACTGAATAAAAAATGGGGCGACAAAAATCCACCACAAACTACACAACTAAATAAGAAAATAAAAAAGAAGAAATAGGAAACACCGTTAACAATAATAACCCGCAGGCAGGTGGAAGGGGAGAAGGAGGGAAAGATTTTGCACGAGATCTGACCGAGTTGATGACGAGGAAGAGAAGGAAGAATCCGGGGGGCCGGGGAAGAATTACTGGGAAAATACCTCAATATACTTACTAAACCCTGACACAGCCCTTAACAACCTCATTGGCTAAATTTGCAGTAGCTGGTACAGCCTGACCTAGCAACAAGTTATCATGTGATTATCATGCCTTGCCATAAATTAAATTATGTCTGCCATAATGTCTAGTTTTTTGGAAAACACTTTTCCTATGTTTTTATAAATTACACGACGGATAGCTTGAAATAGAATTAAGTCGCAGAGAAATAATCAAGACATGTAAGGTCAAAAATCAATGCCTTTCAAACACTAGGTTACGAAGAAGACGTAGTTAGCGCACAACCAGCCAGCTAACGATTTCCCTTATTTAGCGATATGCTTTAGAGGGCTATGAACCATGCCATATATTTAAGTTGATCGTTATATTATTTTCTCTTAGAATTTAAGTAAACATACTCGTTGCAGATGGAGACATACAAAATTGATTTGCCCTCCACCACCACTCCCCCCCCCCACCCCCCCACATACACACACCAAAAAAGAAATATATAAAATTTAATTTCAGATATTAGGCCACAGTCAAACTATTGCCTTTTCCCCTGACCACAAGACAACAATATCCGTTTTCCGAAAGAAAACACTTACCAGTTTCGAACATTTCCGTTTCACGAGCGCTCAGGTGTAGTGGAACGTACAAGTGTGGTATATTGTGTTTTTTTTTTTTTACAATTTATATTCTAAAAGAGTCTGATGACAATTTTAAAATGTACTTCCAAAGCAATGCTTTTCAAAACTTAAAGTGATTCAGTGATTATCCAAATAGTCAGCTGACTACAGAGCGGAAGCTGTTCGCCACAGTTCACCAGTTTGGGGCTTCGGGGAGAGCTTGTAGAATGCCATAATTTGGAAGCGACCATTTAGCAGTGCCGATAGAAATTCCGCATTTTTGAGCAGTATTTGGGCAGAGTCTGGACAATTCCCAATCATCCCTTTTTCTACTCGTAAATTGAAAAAGCCCACTATCTTTTCATTCATTAATTTCACTTTTAATTAGCTTTTAGAGCGTTGAAATAAACAAGGTCAACTACTTAGCTCACTAAACAGTTTAAATGACTGAAACTGCCGGAATAAATTAGCCATAATAAAATAAGGTTATTACTAATTATGCAACGGTTTGCTTTGCAAGCAGAAGAAGATAGATCCAGCGTGAATATCCACAATTCATTTTAGTTTAGCGATTCTTTTTTGCTTCATTTTTTTGCAATTGAGAAAAAGCCTGGTTTCCTTACTGGGAATCAATTTTTGCGTCAATTGTAGTATTTGCAATTAAAATTCTTGAGTTTATTTGAGTCAAAATACAAGCGAACCAGCATCCAAAATTACCTGAACACCGCTCTGTATTAACGAAGAATTAAAGATAACTTTTAGGGCCATAATAACTAGTATAAAGTTTAGAAAACCCTGTTGCGTTTATAACTAATAACTATAAAGTTTACAACTTAAGAGCGGATGTCAGTAAATATCGACCAGAGGTCTACAAAACTGAAAAATCGAAAATTCTCAAAAAAATTCACAAAGTAGCACTAGGTAAGCTATTAACATAAATGTAATTTTTACTTCGATCCGATAATTATTTTCCACGTACGGGGGGGTTATTGGTTTCGCGGCTCTCGGACCGGGTTTTCCAGGCCCGAGACCATGTGTCACAAAAAATCGTTTTAAAATTCAAATCCATTGTAATGTGGACAACAAATAACTTATTCAGAAGAGTACTTAATTGCACACATTCTAAGTGGTGATTTACTCAGTTTGAACGAAAGTGTAATATTTTGGAGATTTTTCATTATTTTCAATATTTTGATCGTTTTCGTTCAATGAAAAAATGGCAAATTTCAAAGCCCAAAATCGTCGACTGGTACCTCGATTTCAGTAACGAGTCTTATACCACGTAAAAGAGCGTTATCTCTTCTTTCAAAATCTGTTTTCAAAACTACGGGCAACTTAAAAGAAAATTTTTGAGGCCAAAAAATACAAGTAGTACTTTTCTGAAATTTGAGCTTTCCAGACTCAGCGGGCCGATGCTAAAAACTTGGAAAAATACAGTAAGAAATCAGTTTGAGCAATAGTGGTTTCATGTTATCAGCTTTCATAAACCAAAACGTGTTTATACAGCGATCTGATATAAATTAATGCCGTCTGCTATCAAGAAAAGCAGATTTAAGCTGTCAACTCCTGCCAAGTGCACCAGTCACGCGAAGTTGTCAAAGGGAGGGCAAAGCACTAATATAAAAAGTCTTAAAATTCAAAACGTTTTACGTCCATGAAATCAGATTTTAGCGTACAAAACAATGTTGTGAATGTCTGTTGTTCGTACCTTAGCATGGTGTTTCCATATGTTGGAAATGTCGAGTATCCACACGGGAGAACATACCAAACAACAACGTTTCAAATCCACGTGCCGAAAGATCGTAAACGGCAAAGATTGCGTTACATTTCACAGAACGACCGCTTACCACTGTTGTCACTCCTTTTTTCGCTGGAAGCTACGAGGAGTTTTCATTCCGTCATGAGTGATTCTTGATCAGCGTTTCCTTGAAAGTACGACCCCGGACAGGTGATAACTGAGGACGTTTCGTCAAGACTCCTGTTGTTCAGTCGCTTTAGCAGGTGCGTAGTCAGGATTTTTCCGGAGCTACGCCCAACTTTTTCTACATCTTCTTCCCCACCTCCCCCACCCCAAATCTCAACATTTTTTTAAGATGCCTTTATTAAAGGTGGGGTTAACGGTTGTAAGCAAAAGCATTTTTGCTGTTTATGAAATGACACAACCTCTAAAATTCTTCAATTCTGTCGGCTTGTTATGTTCATTGACGTCAACCGTTTATCATTAATTCAGCTATTAAAAATCAAGCTTGTAGAACCTCCGACTTAAGTTTACAAATGACTCTTTTTACCCCTTTTTGTCACATTATTTTTTACCGACAAAAGCACCACACATTGACGTAATTGTGCTCTACTTCGTCTACTCCGAAGACACGTCGTGGAGAAAACAACGCGTTCACGCTTTACATCATCAAGCTTGCTATATAAATAAATCATCCAAGATTCGGTTCTCCAATTAATGTCGTCGCTTCTCTGGAAACCGATTTTTTTAGTTATGTTTATTTCATTCTATTTTTTTTCCTCAATGTTTTCGGGCACGCACGTGCAAACCGTGCGTACAAGTAGCTACGCCCCTGTTTAGTCTCCTTAGCCATGAGCGTTCCTCTCTTGCGGTTTCCGCGGGAGTTCAGGATGTGGTCCACCCAGTATTTCACGTCTCTTTTAAATGAGAGGCAGCACTTCTTGTTTACCGTTTCGTTATCAGACAGCGCTTAGGCTCTTAGCCTTTCATTTGATTTTGATCAAATTTTTCTCATTTAGTTACTCAGTATACGTTCGATCCTGTCCTTGTAAACTTATACTTTTATACTTTAGGGGAGCTTAATTCCTATATTAATTTTTTCTTCGTTTAGTGTCGACCAAAAGACCCAGTTTTTTGGCCTTTTTTAAAAAAGCAAGAAAAAGAAACGACAAGTTTTATTTTTTTTGGACTTAGATTAATTCTTTTAATCTAAAAAATTAGCATTATAACATCATTTCGAGGCATAAAACGTTCGGTGGTATATCCTCTTTGCGTTTTACCCTTCTTGGGCCTTTTTTATGAAATTGACCATCAAATTTTCCCCAGATTAAATTTGTGTCGATTTGGTCGACCATGTCTTGTTGTTTTCAGTCTCCACGGCAATGATGCTGGTGTTTCAGGCCTCCTGTTCTCAGATTTCTTGTGATTTTTTTTCACCCCACCGACCGACCCACCCAAAGCCAGGAAACATATTCGACGCTAAACGAACGAAAGGGGATGACCTAAGCCTTATGGTTTCTTTTTGGGCTTCCTCACCACATTACTTCTGCGTGTTTCTGTATACTTGTCTTTTGCTTTGTTTTGTTCTTTTTTTGTCGGTAAAATAAACTGAAACTGTACAAAGACCCTCAATATTCCCTTTGAGGTTCTCGAACGCGCAAAAAAAAAAAAACGCGATGATTTATTGACCGCAAAGGGCAATGGGGTGGGGTTAGGGCTCGTTACTGCGCTCCAGTTCACTCGTACGCTGTCAAACGCTCCCGAAATACAAAATGAAAAATGACTGTGGACAGACTATTCACGTCTAGACAAGATGGGACTTATCGCCTCTCCCTGTTCATGGAGTTGACTCAAGGTGTTGACGTTAATTTCGTGATTCCCTGCATGTTGCCAGGACATGTTTCAAAAGGGCCTTTCCAAAGGTACGGAGTCCGCCGTCACCTTGTCAACCGTGCGAGAAATGATGTACTTCACAAAAACAAAGAGAAGTTATTTTCGATTTGCCCCGCCCCCTACCCCCGAAAGTCCCCGACAGGACCGCTTCAAAGTACTCCCCATGTCATTGCGCGGGGGATAGTAACAGGTCTACCTAATTGCACCGTGCATCAAAGACAGTTTAGCTCAATCAGAAGCCCCTTTTCCCTGGCTAGTTCAAGGTGTGTGCACCTCCTGTAAGCTGTTGTTTTCGGTTCTTACTGAAATTTTTGATCTTGAGGAAATTCACAACGACAGGAGCAGGTTATGAGCTTTTTTCCTAGCCCTAATCCTACATCACGAGAAATCCCTCAGGTTAGGCAAGAATTCGATAATCCTTCCATAATCATCCATTTTTTCACCGCGTGAATTGGGTATTTTTAGCTTATTTCGAGGAAATACTTTTTGCTTCAAATCCAGGGTGGGCTTTTAAACACATTTTTTAAGCCAAATGGTTTTTGCAAGAATCTGCTTACCCGAACTTTTCGCATAAAAAACGACAAATACCCGAAAAAAAGCTCATGTTGTTGTTGGTGGTGGCATATTTCCGATAAATTCAGCTCAATGTCTCGTGAAGAAGAGTTCAGATCCGTGCCCCGCGCCTCTCGAGGCAAGCGTTCCGTCGAAATGCGAGCCCAAAAACAGGTGGTAAGCGGTCAATCTGTGAAAAGTAACGCAATCTCCGTCGTTTGAGAGCAGCCGAAGATGGTCTTGCCGATGCTGTCCTTGATGTTTTTATTTCCATTATCTAGGAAACCCATGCTAAGGTATGAAACATACACTCGTAGGCATTGTTCTGTCCGCTAAAGTCTAATTCCTGGACGCAGAAACTTTGTGCTTTTTGAAGTTTATTATTGTGCTTTGCCCTTTGACAACCTTACGTCACTCGTGCGTTTGGTAGCAGAAGATGGCTAAACTCTGCTTTTCTTGTTGGAAAACGGCTTTAAATTTTATCAGATCGCTCGATAAACACGTGTTGGTTTCTGATAGCTGATAACGTTAAATCACTGTTGCTCAAACTGATTTCTTATCGCATTTTTCTGAGTTTTTAGCATCGACCCGCTGAGTCTGGAAAGCTCAAATTTCAGAAAAGTACTACTAGTATTTTTGGCCTCAAAAATTTTCTTTTAAGTTGCCCGTAGTTTTGAAAACAGATTTTGAAAGAAGAGATAACGTTCTTTAACGTGGTATAAGACTCGTTACTGAAATCGAGGTACCAGTCGACGATTTTGGGCTTTGAAATTTGCCATTTTTTTCATTGAACGAAAACGATCAAAATATTGAAAATAATGAAAAATCTCCAAAATATTACACTTTCGTTCAAACTGAGTAAATCACAACTTAGAATGTGTGCAATTAAGTACTCTTCTGAATAAGTTATTTGTTGTCCACATTACAATGGATTTGAATTTTAAAACGATTTTTTTGTGACACATGGTCTCGGGCCTGGAAAACACGGTCCGAGAGCCGCGAAACCAATAACCCCCCCGTACGTGGAAAATAATTATCGGATCGAAGTAAAAATTACATTTATGTTAATAGCTTACCTAGTGCTACTTTGTGAATTTTTTTGAGAATTTTCGATTTTTCAGTTTTGTATACCTCTGGTCGATATTTACTGACATCCGCTCTTAATGCACTATTTTCAGGGATAGCTCGTGGAGGGCTCTTATTTCCTGTAAATCTCTAATAAGTTTAAGGTATAAATTTTTCACTGACTCTTACCTTGCACCATGCTTTTTGATGCATTTGGATCTTTGTTTCCAGACCACTTCATCATGATGACAAATCCTAATGTGGCAGCAGCGATTAGGAGGGTCATGGCTAAAGCAGCACACATAAAAACCTGCATTCGCCGGAGTTTTCTGAGGTCTTCTTGCACAGCATTCTCAGACACTGATTGGGTTTGTTCTCTTTTGATGTATTTCTGATAAAGATTCTCACCAACTTTCACTTTTGTTGCTGCTTCTCCGACGATATCGTCATAGTCTTGATAAGTTCCTGTCTTGCCTTGGAGCTCGAGATAGATACTCTCTGGTTCATCGGGTGTCGTAGACATTGTGCCAGTGTTGTATCGTAGTTGCAAATGAGTTAGCAACACCTGCTTTTGACTTTGACTAGTTACTAACACCTTCGCTTTTAGTAGCTAGCTGTATACGTTTCGTATGCCTCAAATAAATGTGGTCGACTGCGTTTGAATAAGATACTAATAGTTTGCAAAAACAGGAACTAGAAGATATTATACTTAATTTCAAAGTTTACAGGATATGACGCCTGCTAATAGCCAATGTGGTTGCCTTAAATGTTGACCACATAGCTAGAAGGTAAATAATTTACAGAAAAGGGAACAGGAACATATAATTTGATTTCAATATGTACCGGAAATGACTTCATCTTATTGTACTAACTTGCAATTTCCGAAACGCTAGATGGTTTTGATATACGTAACTAAAACTGATTTTTATATATCATGCATGGTAAAAACGTTGGTCGCACATTTTCAAGTTTACGCAATGCGACGATCGCATTGCTGTTCCGATCAAGTTTAACAACCTCAGTCGTTTCGATTACGGCAACGAAATCTGCCACGAAAAGTGTGCTGCACGTTGAGAGTTTTCTTTCTTTCTTTTTTTTTTTGCTTATTAAACCTGTTGCTTTCTATTTCCTCGTTTCCATAGTTTTGTCTTTTCCTCCTGCTAGCAAAGGACTGTCACGGCGAGAGAAAAATGAGAGGAAAGAGAGAGGCCTCTGCCGGCCCCCGACTGGCGTTTCCTTAGCAACCAGTGACGTGTTCGACAGAGGCGCAGGAGAGTTGTGAAAATTCTTCGCGATAAAGAGATGCCGCGTACTCCGTTCGTAATCGTATAGCACCATGAATTCATTAATACGGATCGGGATCATTCACCCATCTCATAATTGACTGATTCACTGAGCGTATGAGTTTTTGGGTCAAATAAGCTCTCACTGCCAACCAAAGGAAAAAGAAAATAGACTCACATTTTAAAATCTCAATATATAGAGCACAAAAGTACTAATTGGTTACGTCTCCTACTGGAGACGAGACCGCCATTTTATGTGGTCATCCGAGCCAGGCAAAGGTCTGGCCCTTTGCAGAACCGTCCTATAAATAAAGGTGTTTAGCTGCTGTAATACCTCATGAAAGTAGAAACTCAGAAGAATCGATAATTCTTTAGTTTAAATTTTGGTGACGTCATGTGAAAACCATGAATATATCGCACAAGCCCCAATTCAAGTCCCGTCCTTACGAATCCTAGCAGGCTGAAACTGTATACTTAATTAGACTCGAAAAATTCCTCTCTGAGCAGTTAAAAAAAAAAAAAAAAAAAAGATGCACCTTCGGTGAGCGGATTCACTGCCTGCTTGTGCGTAGGCGGAGGGCCTCAATCATGAAGAGCTACGTAGAGAAGAGACGGGATCTTCAGCAATGTAAGGAGAAAAAGTCACAATTCCCTCACATTTGTAACCCCTTGCCATTTGAAATTGTTTAAGAATAACTTCACAGTGGTGGATCCAGGAAAGGGCCGGGGGTACAGCCCTTCCCCGTATTTTTAGATGAAACTGAGGCCCGAAGGGCCGAAAAAAATTTTTGGGATACCCCCCCTACTTATCTAAGGGTCTGGATGACCGCTCCCCTCTCCCCCTTATCAAGGTAAACTGCTTCACGTTCAAACGATACCTCGCATTGTTACAACGCTGCAACTCAATAACAGGGTTAAATAAATTATGTAGTCAAGAAAAAGGCTATATTTTGACTTCACCGGTTGTAGAAAAAACCTGTTCATTCGAAAAGGGCTATACTCAAAATTACGTGGAGCATTTCTAAAATTCCAAACCTGAATGTCGCTGTATTTATTCCTTGGTAAACCATTGCGCTTTCAGTCAATCCTTCTGAATTGAACCTGTACACTCCAAGGCCGGTTCCTTTCGTTTCACAATTAACTACCTTATTTCTCCTTTAAGAGAACTTGTCTTTAACAGCAGCGGCGATACTTCGTCTAGATTTCCTTATGCAATAAAAAGTCGCGGCGGAATCACTCGGCTTTGCTGTTTCTAGCATAAGACGGCTAACATTTTGGGTGAATTCATTTGCAACATACGCGTATAGCTGTCGTATTTGCCCACAAAAGGTCTTTTGTTTTTAACCTTAAAAACAATAAAAAATTCCAGCAGGCAAATGCAACAGCTATGTTGCAAATGAATCCACCCTATTAAAAAGATAAGACTCTGGATTAATGCCATTGTGCCACCTATGAGGGCATGTCATGGATCCTTGAAAACAAAAGAAAGGGTGGGCGCGATTTTCCTAAATGGGTCCCTGAGGAATCGTCACCAATGCAATAAAAGTTTAGCAGCTCGTGTTTATGCGAATTATCACAATTGCGCCCAAGCTTAAGGGCCTGTTTACATGGAGGTGGGGGCACCAGATAGGTGAGGTAACATGTGGCGGGTAACTCCACCTATCATGTAAACGTGATCAAATTAAAATAAGAGATTATATGGACAGGCGGGCTACCCCAACTACCTGGGAAGCCCCACCTCCATGTAAACAGGCGCGAAAAGTTACTTGGATTAAGGAAAGTGTTTTCGCTATTTTTGGAAGAGACTAACAAATCTTAAGCTACTGATAAGGGTCAGCCGTAAAGTCGCGGGTCCCATGACTATTGGCGGGCTCACACAGGGCGCCAACGCATTTTGCGTCCTTTGACTCTCTGATTTACACCTGTAAGTGTTAGGGGACGTGCAAAGATAATTTACCTTCATCGCGACGTGCTTTTGGGCTCTCCTTTTTCAGGAACTGCACTCTAACTCAAGTTCTAACTTATTTTGATTCTAAAAAATCTTGTAAGGTTTTAATCCAGCAGGATGTATCTAATGCAAGAAAACAAGCACGAAGTCGAACTGTTTCGAATTGCGCTGGAAGTTGTTTTGGTCAGTATGTAAATTACCTCGTATCCTTTCGAACTGAAATATCCTGGCTTTCTTCGTATCATTTTATACAATTTTTATGAAATCAGAATTCTTTTATGTAAGTTTAAGATTTATGACGAAAAAAACTTCGACGAAACGTTGCGTTTCACTTACTTATAAAGAAGAAAATAAACACTAGAAAAATAAAATAAATGAATATTAAATAAGTAAAGTCATCAGAAATTTTAACAGTTCTATATTACTCAAGTAGAGACAGACAATTTCTTGATTTGTATAAGTTCATCATACCTCCTGTCACGCATGAACAATTTAAGCCACAACGGTACGAACCCCGGCGCCCCTCCCCCCGGCTAAATACGGCCAGACGCCGATTCCTCCGCCAACCGAATTTATCTGGGCTATAATATTTTAAAAGATTTCCCAATCATGATTACCCGATCTTGCAAATAATGTAACAAAATTAGACCGCAACAGTACCATTCCATTTCGTCAGCTACGTTCATCGTCTAAAAATCTCCCTTCTCTTCCTTATTTTAATTTGAGAAAATTGGCACCCCCCACACTCTCGAATACTGTGCCGTCTGACATTAAGAATAGCTCCTCTGTGTCCGTTTTTTAAAAACAAACATAAAAATTTCCTTAAATCATTTTTTTGGTGTGTGTACCCATTACGAGTAAATGTCACCAGTAAAAACGTGACCGTTTCGTTTTTCATGGTAAACAGACAACAAAGGCCGGCAATTTCGGCTCCAAATGATAAGTACATGCGAAGGAACTGGAACCAGTTTCAAGACCAACACCTTGACCAAGAGAGGTCATAATCTTATAATCGCGAATAAAATGTTTAACTAGACAAATGAAAAATAAAATGTTTGTTTCCTTCCTCCAGGCGGCCAGTGACAATTGCAGTCATCTATGATATCGCAATAGTATGCAACGTAGTCAATGCGCAGTGCAAGACAAGGGTACAGATGGATCGTCCGTGAAGTAGAACTTTTCTTCATATCTCAGACTAATAATTAACAAAGAGTTTTAGCCACTCCGAGGATAAATCTTGTTTATTATTATCTCGCAGTATAAAACTTGCTGTCTACATTATGAGTAGTATAGGGCGCATAACGTAACCTACATCACTTGAGGCCGCTATACTTAAAAGAAATAAAAGGTCAGTACGAAACCTAATACGATCCTAATATACATAATGATAAGAATCTCTCGACTTAAAAAGCCAAGTTAGAATATTATTAAATTCTTATACTCTGTAAAACCTACGCAAAGACATGATGATATAATTATCTCTACTAGAAGCTTATTTAGAAAATTATTCAGTCTTTATACTCTCATTATCTCTTATATACCTAAGCGAGGCCATGATAATGTGGTTGTCTCTATTATTATTATTATTATTATTATTATCATTATAATTATTATTATTATTATTACTATTATTATTATAATTACTATTATTTCTGCTGATTAACGTTCATTGTATTCGATCGCGAATTACGATAATACATTAACGGTAGTTGACATTCTACTACAGAAAACTCTAATAATAACCAGTAATAAACCGACAGTGGAAACGATTTTTTTTTAACGTGGCCTTAGTTTCTCGGTTTAGACAGACAGTTCCACGATTTTTACAAGTCCGTTGTCATTTGAGTTACCTCCATTCACTCCTGAACAATTCGAGCCACTACAGTAAGAGCCCCCTCCCCCTCCTGCTTGGTATGATTCTGTGCCGCTACCTCCCCCAGAGTAACCACCACCTCCTCCTGATGCACCACTATCTTCAGATCCCCCTCCACCACCGCCAAACCCTCCTACGGCCCCAGGGGGAGGCCCTCCGTTGTAGCCACTATTCATTCTTCCAGCACGACCACCCACCCAGCCCTGAGCACGGGATCCACCCCTTTCGCCATTTTCGGACCAGACCCTGGAACAACCTTGGCCTAACCATCCCGCACCTACTCCCCCATGCCAATCACCGAATGCGCTGTTACACTGACCAGGATTCCCTCCAGTTCCTCCGCTACGAACATCACTTGAATCTTTTCCAACGCTACTAGTGCCGTTAGTACCCGCCTGACCATCCACCCGTTATACCCGTTAGATGCACCCCCCTCCTCCAGCAGCTAACAAAAGCACGTTACTTGTTGTATAAACAAAGCTCCCTCCCCTCCCCAGTTCCAGCATTGTCCTCTACGGACAGTCCCAGCTGAGCTGCTGTCAAGTTAGTGGACTGTCCTCCTCTTATCTCCACTGAATCGCCCCTCTTTGTCCCACTACAATATTCAGTACAGTTCCTTTATTCAAGGTAAACCTGCCCTCTTTGTATGCACCTTTTCCACCGTAGTAAGTTCCGGGATAACTTCCATAGTTTGTGGAGTGCGTTCCTCCTCGAGCTCCCCAGGCTCTGATTCGATAGCGAGTGGTTTTGGCACTGTGAAAGTCTGAATGCTGCCGAAACGCCCTGCTCCATTCGTTGTAAACGACCAAGGAGCTGATAATGACAATGTATTGTATTTAATAATATACATGAAAACATTTCTTAAATCTGATTGGTTGAGAGCAGTCCAGTTTTTAGTAAACTGAAAACACAGTACAAAAAACGAGGAAAAATAATACAAAAAGAAGGGAATATAATGCAAATTTCTTAGAGAATGGAAAACTGTGATTTGCTAATAGACAATAGAAATCTGTAAGAACCAATCAAGTGCTGCAATCTACTGGCGTTCAAAGCTTTCAAGCAAAGCCAGGCAAGTCATTTTTTTATGTATATTATTAAAAAGTGATCATGCAACTTTTCTCATTCAATTTGGAATTTATTTGCATTCGTGCGTTCAAATTGCATTCGTGTTATGGGCTCATGTACTGAGTTTTGATACTTTTTTAAAAAACACATTCATGCAAATAAATTCCAAATTGAACTCGAAGTCCTATGATTACCTATACTAATATTTGCGCTCTAAATTGTATTTAAAATAATTAAAAAGTAATATCAAAACCCATCAGTTGATAATCAGTTTAGGGTGATAATCAGAACTGAAGTGAGGACTACATTGTGGCAGACGAAACTTAATGGCCGGTGCCTGTTTGCGAGGAGTTAGCATATGCATGAAATCAAGGCTGTGGAGGCTACAGTTTCTTCTCGCTGAGATAATCCCTCATAATAGACCAGACTGATTGTGATCAAGGGCTCTTTAAGGCGATATTACTTGAGACGATTTGCAACGACAATTTTTATGGCGACAATGTTGCAACAATCAGAAACAATGTCGCAACAATGCTGCAACGCTGTGTTGCGCTAAAGACCGTCGTTGCGAATAGTCCGACGTAACATTGCCTTTACAAAGGGAATCAATGCCTCCTTAATGATATTGCCATTGTCTTTAAGATGAACGCTTCAGGCAAAGAATTCGAAAAGGTATCAGCTGTCAAGAGATTTTGAAATTGAATCAGGAATATCAAGACAATCGACCTAAAAACATTTCAGAAACAGGAGGACAATCTGATGCCCATATTCCGAAGCCCGAAGCGTGCGACTCGCATACTTAGCGTAAGCAATAGATCAGTTTATTTTAGCATGACTTTGGAATACTTTTTCAAGCGAAAATGGAAGCCCCGCTTCGTATGTGCGCGCATCCGATAAGTATAAGAAATACGAAAATAGAGCGTTTGCACACGATCGCATGGCGGCCATATTGGTGTTCCAAAACAATGGAACGGCCATCATATTGTCCGTTTCAAATGAGTCCTGTAGGAGTCGAACTCTTTTCTTATATAAAGCTTTCTTTTGTTGAATAAATTTGCATAGATGCTGGTCACGTATTAAAGTGAACACGCTCTAAAAAATAAGTCACCATCATCAATACATCAAAAAATACTATTAATTGGTCTCCAGGCTTTGTTGACTAGAAAGTCAGTCTGAAAATCTACATCTGCGTAACCGCGGTAGCATGGGCATGGGTTCTTGAGTAGACTTAGTCATGTTTGGTAGAATCTAATTATTACTATAATTACATAATTGCTGCAATTGAAATTGATAAAAAATACATATATGTATGTAAAATAAAATAAAAGATATAAATCATGGAGTACGCATCAGCCGCACAAAACTTCAGTCTTCATGTACATACAACTTGCATAAAAAGAAATTACAATAAACATGTCTTCCCTAACTTTTAATTTTATATGTTTAATAATTACCATAGCACGTGATTCCATCACCGGAGGAACCAAACTTGCATGCACACAAGTGGGAACCAGCAGTATTAGTGCACGCGGCATTCACGTCACAGTTGTCAGTTTTGGTAGTGCATTCGTCTATATCTGAGGGGAGAAAGAAATTAAGTTTAAGGTGCATCCTTGTTATCGCGGTGCGATAGTCTTTCAAAAGAGCTATGGTTCTCTTGCGTTTTAGTTCGTTAGGTAATCGTGCAATGATCATTCTCTTGTTCCTTGTATTTAAGAGTTTTCCATACGAGCTATTTTATAACTGATGAAGGTTGTGAAGACCAAAACGTATTCAGTAATTAATATGAATCGGTATATTTCAAAGAGGGGTAGGGGGGGGGGAGGCAGCTTTAGTGTCAGCTATTACTGCTAATGAGAACCACTGGTTGTTACTTGTTAAAATGATATATCATGGATGGAGCAAGCATCACCCGCAACAAGCGACAGGATTAATAAATACATAATAAAATAGCTTCAAAAAGAATATAAGTCCCTCGACCAACATTTATGTCTTAATAATTACCATAGCAAGTGATTCCATCCCCGGAGTAACCAGATTTGCATGCACAAAGATGGGATCCTGCAGTGTTAGTGCACACAGCATTCACGTCACGAGAAAGATACCAGGTTTGAAGTGCATCCTTGTCAACGCGGTCCGACCTCTTCCAACCGAGCACTAAATTATTCATTTTTTTTACAGATGACCCTCTAAAGATATGTTTGGAGAATTACTTAATTAATTTATGGGGTACTGCTTCTTTCTTGGACCTAACTAAAATAATTTTACATACATTAGGCAGGATAACTTACCGATGCATGATGTTCCATTTCCAGTGTATCCAAGGCTGCATGTGCAGTTATAAGACCCCTGAGTGTTATTGCAAAAAGCATTGGCATCACAGTTATGGACTTTAGTGGTACACTCGTTAATATCTGAAAGGAAAGAATTATAAAGAAAGTATTAAAGATGATGCGGGCAAAACGGATCAACGAAACATAATTCCAATACTGCAGCAGAAACGATTTTTGATATACCGGTGCATGCTGTTTCATTTCCAGTATGCACTTGTTATATCTAAAAGGAAGGTATTTTCAGCAGAACGATGTCTATGAATGAAATAATAAGCCTTGGATAAGGAACGTTTCTATGTATGGGGTTCTTCTCTTTCGGACTTCTTAACATACAGTCAAGCTTCTCGTATTCTAAGCGACCAAACAAGATGCAAGTGTAAGTGGTCTCATACGGGAGGTGGCCGCTTATAAGATTCAAACAACAGGGTGCCTTTTCCAAGAAATAGATTGTACTTTATCAGATGGGCTTCCATAAGTACGCTGAGAGATATGTTTGGAGAATTACTTAATGCATTTATGGGGTACTGCTTGTTTCTTGGACCTCGCTAAAATAATTTTACATGCATTAGGCACGATGATTTACCGATGCATGATGTTCCATTTCCAGTATATCCAGGGCTACATGTGCAGTTGTAAGACCCCTGAGTGTTATTGCAGAAAGCATTGGCATCACAGTTATGGACGTTAGTGGTACACTCGTTAATATCTGAAAGGAAAGAATTATTAAGAAAGTATTAAAGATGATGCGGGCAAAACAGATCAACGAAACCAAGAGCCATAATGGCTCTTGACGAAACATAATTCAAATACTGCAGCTCAAACGATTTTAAGCTCCCCCACCCCCCAAAAAAGCAAAAACAAAAACAAAAGCAAAACATAAAAAGAAAAACGAAACTTGAAATGAAATGAAATAAAAAAAATCAAAGAGTTACAATACATACATTGCTTTTTTTTTTTTGAAAAATCTATTGGTCATAATAATTTACCGGTGCAAGATATTCCATTTCCATCGTACCCAGGGCTACACGTGCATTTATAAGATCCCTCAGTGTTATTACAGAAAGCATTGGCATCACAGTTATGGACGTTGGCTGTGCACTCGTTAATATCTGAAAGGAGAGAATTAAGGTGCTTGAACACAGTTTAAGAAAGATATGTTTGGAGAATTACTTAATTAATTTATGGGGTACTGCTTCTTTCTTGGACCTAACTAAAATAATTTTAAATACATTAGGCAGGATAATTTACCGATGCATGATGTTCCATTTCCAGTGTATCCAGGGCTGCATGTGCAGTTATAAGACCCCTGAGTGTTATTGCAGAAAGCATTGGCATCACAGTTATGGATGTTAGTGGTACACTCGTTAATATCTGAAAGGAAAGAAGTATTAAGAAAGTATTTAAGATGATGCGGGCAAACCGGATCAACGAAACATAATTCAATACTGCAGCAGAAACGATTTTTGATATACCGGTGCATGCTGTTTCATTTCCAGTATGCACTTGTTATATCTAAAAAAGGAAGGTATTTTCAGCAGAACGATGTCTGTGAATGAAATAATAAGCCTTGGATAAGGAACGTTTCTATGTATGGGGTTCTTCTCTTTCGGACTTCTTAACATACAGTCAAGCTTCTCGTATTCTAAGCGACCAAACAAGATGCAAGTGTAAGTGGTCTCATACGGGAGGTGGCCGCTTATAAGATTCAAACAACAGGCTGCCTTTTCCAAGAAATAGATTGTACTTTATCAGATGGGCTTCCATAAGTACGCTGAGAGATATGTTTGGAGAATTACTTAATGCATTTATGGGGTACTGCTTGTTTCTTGGACCTCGCTTAAAATAATTTTACATGCATTAGGCATGATGATTTACCGATGCATGATGTTCCATTTCCAGTATATCCAGGGCTACATGTGCAGTTGTAAGACCCCTGAGTGTTATTGCAGAAAGCATTGGCATCACAGTTATGGACTTTGGCTGTACATTCGTTAATATCTGAAAAGAGAGAATTAAAGTTGCCTGAACACAGTTTGAGGAAGATAGGTTTGGAGAATTACTTAATGCATTTATGGGGTACTGCTTCTTTCTTGCACCTCGCTAAAATAATTTTACATGCATTAGGCAGGATGATTTACCGATGCATGATGTTCCATTTCCAGTGTATCCAGGGCTGCATGTGCAGTTATAAGACCCCTGAGTGTTATTGCAGAAAGCATTGGCATCACAGTTATGGACGTTAGTGGTACACTCGTTAATATCTGAAAGGAAAGAATTATTAAGAAAGTATTAAAGATGATGCGGGCAAAACAGATCAACGAAACCAAGAGCCATAATGGCTCTTGACGAAACATAATTCAAATACTGCAGCTCAAACGATTTTAAGCTCCCCCACCCCCCAAAAAAGCAAAAACAAAAACAAAAGCAAAACATAAAAAGAAAAACGAAACTTGAAATGAAATGAAATAAAAAAAATCAAAGAGTTAAAATACATACATTGCTTTTTTAAAAAAAAAATGTATTGGTCATGATAATTTACCGGTGCAAGAAATTCCATTTCCATCGTACCCAGGGCTACACGTGCATTTATAAGATCCCTCAGTGTTATTACAGAAAGCATTGGCATCACAGTTATGGACGTTGGCTGTGCACTCGTTAATATCTGAAAGGAGAGAATTAAGGTGCCTGAACACAGTTTAAGAGAGATATGTTTGGAGAATTACTTAATTAATTTATGGGGTACTGCTTCTTTCTTGGACCTAACTAAAATAATTTTTCATACATTAGGCAGGATGATTTACCGATGCATGATGTTCCATTTCCAGTGTATCCAGGGCTACATGTGCAGTTATAAGACCCCTGAGTGTTATTGCAGAAAGCATTGGCATCACAGTTATGGATGTTAGTGGTACACTCGTTAATATCTGAAAGGAAAGAAGTATTAAGAAAGTATTTAAGATGATGCGGGCAAACCGGATCAACGAAACATAATTCAATACTGCAGCAGAAACGATTTTTGATATACCGGTGCATGCTGTTTCATTTCAGTATGCACTTGTTATATCTAAAAGGAAGGTATTTTCAGCAGAACGATGTCTATGAATGAAATAATAAGCCTTGGATAAGGAACGTTTCTATGTATGGGGTTCTTCTCTTTCGGACTTCTTAACATACAGTCAAGCTTCTCGTATTCTAAGCGACCAAACAAGATGCAAGTGTAAGTGGTCTCATACGGGAGGTGGCCGCTTATAAGATTCAAACAACAGGGTGCGTTTTCAAGAAATAGCTTGTACTTTATCAGATGGGCTTCCATAAGTACGCTGAGAGATATGTTTGGAGAATTACTTAATGCATTTATGGGGTACTGCTTGTTTCTTGCACCTCGCTAAAATAATTTTACATGCATTAGGCACGATGATTTACCGATGCATGATGTTCCATTTCCAGTGTATCCAGGGCTGCATGTGCAGTTATAAGACCCCTGAGTGTTATTGCAGAAAGCATTGGCATCACAGTTATGGACGTTGGCTGTACACTCGTTAATATCTGAAAGGAGAGAATTAAAGTGCCTGAACACAGTTTGTGAGAGATAGGTTTGGAGAATTACCTAATGCATTTATGGGGTACTGCTTCTTTCTTGGACCTCGCCAAAATGTTTTTACATGCATTAGGCAGGATGATTTACCGATGCATGATGTTCCATTTCCAGTGTATCCAGGGCTACATGTGCAGTTATAAGACCCCTGAGTGTTATTGCAGAAAGCATTGGCATCACAGTTATGGACGTTAGTGGTACACTCGCTAATATCTGAAAGGAAAGAATTATTAAGAAAATATTAAAGATGATGCGGGCAAAACGGATCAACGAAACCAAGAGCCATGATGGCTCTTGACGAAACATAATTCAAATACTGCAGCCCAAACGATTTTAAGCTCCCCCACACCCCAAGAAGCAAAAACAAAAACAAAAACAAAAGCAAAACAAAAAAGGAAAACTTGAAATGAAATGAAATAAAAAAAATCAAAGAGTTAAAATACATGCATTGCTTTTTTTTTCTTTAAATGTATTGGTCATGATAATTTACCGGTGCAAGATGTTCCATTTCCATCGTACCCAGGGCTACACGTGCATTTATAAGATCCCTCAGTGTTATTACAGAAAGCATTGTCATCACAGTTATGGACGTTGGCTGTACACTCGTTAATATCTGAAAGGAGAGAATTAAGGTGCCTGAACACAGTTTAAGAGAGATATGTTTGGAGAATTACTTAATTAATTTATGGGGTACTGCTTCTTTCTTGGACCTAACTAAAATAATTTTTCATACATTAGGCAGGATGATTTACCGATGCATGATGTTCCATTTCCAGTGTATCAGGGCTACATGTGCAGTTATAAGACCCTGAGTGTTATTGCAGAAAGCATTGGCATCACAGTTATGGATGTTAGTGGTACACTCGTTAATATCTGAAAGGAAAGAAGTATTAAGAAAGTATTTAAGATGATGCGGGCAAACCGGATCAACGAAACATAATTCCAATACTGCAGCAGAAACGATTTTTGATATACCGGTGCATGCTGTTTCATTTCCAGTATGCACTTGTTATATCTAAAAGGAAGGTATTTTCAGCAGAACGATGTCTATGAATGAAATAATAAGCCTTGGATAAGGAACGTTTCTATGTATGGGGTTCCACTCTTTCGGACTTCTTAACATACAGTCAAGCTTCTCGCTAAGCGACCAAACAAGATGCAAGTGTAAGTGGTCTCATACGGGAGGTGGCCGCTTATACGATTCAAACAACAGGGTGCGTTTTCCAAGAAATAGCTTGTACTTTATCAGATGGGCTTCCATAAGTACGCTGAGAGATATGTTTGGAGAATTACTTAATGCATTTATGGGGTACTGCTTCTTTCTTGCACCTCGCTAAAATAATTTTACATGCATTAGGCGCGATGATTTACCGATGTATGATGTTCCATTTCCAGTGTATCCAGGGCTGCATGTGCAGTTATAAGACCCCTGAGTGTTATTGCAGAAAGCATTGGCATCACAGTTATGGCCTTTGGCTGTACACTCGTTAATATCTGAAAGGAGAGAATTAAGGTGCCTGAACACAGTTTGATAGGTTGTGGATCATAACCAATTATTGGGGTTTTATTTAAGACTCATTGAGGGTATAACGCTAACATTTTGATTCAGCACATCAAACAATCTATATTTATCAGACATGACATTTATTAAGTTGAAAGTGAGACTTGGATTGTTGCCATGGCAACATGGAAGTTTGACAACAAGCCAAAAAATTTCAATTTATTAGGTTTAAGCAAAATTCAGTCATTGGATTTTCTTAGAAAATTGAACACAGCTTTCGATTAGTAACCCTCATCTTTTAGAAACCACTTGACCAAAATTGTAACGAACAGTTTTTAAAATCTTCAAGAAAATAGCCTTTATGGAAATCTTGATTTTGTCACAAAACTCCTTTGTTGAAAAGATATTTTGACGCTTTTATTGGCTTGAGCGTGACATGAACAGGATTTCTGTCAAATTTCGTCACATTTTAATGAGTAGATTTAAAGATATTGTAGTTTATTTACGTTGCTTACGAAAGTACGCATGTTCAGCTCTAGTTCAACAGGCCCGCGCTGAGGTCACGTGATATGTCAAAGGCGACAAAAACATTATTTTCTGTTAAACTTTTTATCAGCCTTTCCTCCCTCTTTTTCTTTATGTAATGATAAAGTTGTTAAAATACACAGTAAAGGGATAAATCCGATTTAGAGAAATTGTGTTCAGCAACCTTAGATGTTAAGACAAATCAAAACAAACCCAAACAAATATTGCTTATAACGGAGCAGAGACGTAATTTACACCGCCCCCCCCCCCTGTCCTACCCCCGCTCCCCCAGTTTTAATAGCAATAATATATGGTCGCGTAAAAATGCAAATGCGTTGATAATTTACCGGCGCAGGATGTTCCATTTCCAGTATATCCAGGGCTGCATGCGCAGGTGTAAGATCCATCAGTGTTATCACAGAAAGCATTTGCATCACAATTATGGACATTAGTGGTACACTCGTTAATATCTGAAGGGAGAGAATGTATGAAGATAAAAAGAAAAAAAAAACAAATCCAAACAAATATTACATTTTGCCTACACTACCCAGAAAGACACCCACCCAAGAATAAATGCGGGGGCCTCTGGGTCAGCAAGGACCTCAAAACCAGTTTATTGCAAAATTACCGTAAGTTAACAAGACCGCTCCTAATTACAAAACGCCCTATGGTGAAACACAAACCTCGAAAGCAACTAAGACAACTAAGTACGACACTGTCGGATACGAAAACCCAAAACTACTTTGTGGAAAAAAGAGAACGTACATCCACCACCTGCTGAAATCAACTGCGGAGGCGACAACTCGAGATCAGAGGTACGCAAAAACATTTTAGCTGCAAGCAGAGAATTAAAGGGGTTTGCTGGATATCAGAATCAAAGCTAATAAAGGCAACAGGAAAAAGGGACTGGCACTGCATAGTGTGATGAACTCTGCAAGACGATTAGTTTAAGGTTTTACCAAGACACGATTTTCCATTTCCAAAGTACCCAGGATTACAAGTGCAAATATAAGATCCAATGGTATTGTTACAAAACGCATTGACATCACATGAATGGATGCTGGTTTCACACTCGTCTATATCTGAAAAAGATTGAAAAAATATTTTTGAATTGAATCGTGCATCGCTAGAGATCGTGCCTGATATGTTGTGGTTTAATTGGAAGCGCAAGCAGTTATGTTCAAATTTTAAACTGATTTTAAGTTTTAGGGTATCATTATATAGTTGATAATTAAACATAAACATATATAGAAAAATAAAAGAAGAGAAAAAGAAAAGCTTCCTTGGATGTTTAGGGAGATGGACGATAATTCTTGCGAAGCGAGTTTATAATCTCGTCGAGCGCGAAGCGCGAGCGCATCACGTGAACCACCCGTGCTCTTAGGCAGATGCAAAATTCGATGCCCCATAAATAAATAAATAAATAAATAAATAAATAAATAAATGAACAAATATTTATATGAATATATGCTTGGTGTCCGCCAAGGGAAGAAGCTAGGAAAGGTCTGTAAAGCAGCATTGGAGCCATTTGTTGGTATTCAAAATATAATGGAATTATAGGATTTATATATTTGCCTTTTGTTGTGTCTAATTCTTAACGCGATTTCTAAATTTGTACCACCGGAATAGACATGACAAGAAAAATCATATTCTAGAGTACGTCCGGTTATCGTCTTACCTCTTCCTTCATGTATACTTTATATAATGATGTCGCAGAATAAAAAGGCAAAATACCAACCCCACCCCTACAGGAATTCTTTTGTTGACTGCATTGCACTGGACATCTACGAGACGGTTTACGGACAAACTAGCCGATTCATTGCAGCTGGATTACTAGTAACCATCTCGAAAAAAGAAAACAACAACTCTACATCCTTACTCGAAATCCAACTCGAAATCCTCACTCGAAAATCCAACTCGAAAATTCAAATCGAAATCCTAACTCGAAAATCCAACTCAAATTCCTATCTCGAAAATCCAGCTCGAAATCTAACTCGAAATCCTAACTTGGAAGTTAGTTTATTTGTCTCCAATAGTTTGCCCCTTCGAATAGTTCTTTTACAGAAAAAAAGTCGCTGACTGTGTGCCCCCGAATCAGGGGCACCCAACGACGGTTTCCTCCTAAACGCATTGAAAAGTCTTTTTATGCTATCCAGAGTACTTTTAGATCTCTAGAAATGTATTCTAAGCAGCACTATAAAAGTTGCATCTGTTCGGTCATCCTAGGGAAACTGAAGGCTTTTCAAAATTACAAGGGCTTCACTGTTATTTTTCCGAAAATTTTAGATGCAGTTGAACGAACTCGGTAAGAATTTTTCTTGTTCTTCTTTTCATCTCATTTTTGAATCCGAAAATTTTCGGTTTTTCTTTTTCTACGAAAATTAGCCTAACATAAGGAGTAAAAGATGAAAAATTACACTTCAGAAAATAGTAGGGAATTTTTTAGATAAGTTTCGAAAATCGTACCTGAATGGAGCGCTCTTCTAGAAATTTTTAGCCCTATTCAAGCAATAGAATATTCTAGGCAATATTTGCTTCTGCGAACAGATATTTTACAGAAAACAGTCGTTGGGTGCCCCTGCCGAATCAGGAATGCAAAAATACTGAAACAAAATGTAAAATTCCCCGGGAAACAAATTTGTCTTTTAAACTTACCCTAGCTGAGATACCTACTGCAAAACAAGTGCGCGGGCTCTTGAAAAATAAAGTTCTAAGAGCGGACTAAACCGAGATATGACAGGGCAAGTTTAGAAGCCTTTAATCGCTAGTTGAGGGTGTTACGAGTAGACAGCCGGACTTTTAAAAAGTTGTAACGTTTGCTTACCCTGCACCACGGCGTCAAGTTTTGATCCTTTAGCATCATCATCAACATCATTATTTCGAGATATTATCAATGACAACATTATAGCAGCAATAACCAAAATGACAACGGCAATAAGACAGATGAAGACAGTTAACATGATCAGTATTCGCCGGTCATTTTCACGACTTGGACTCTCTATCGTGGGGTCACTCATGTTCTCCCTCGTTCACTTTTATCAGCCCAGACTCTGAAGCTGTCAACTTGTTTCCACTGCCACTACAAATAATATCCCACTTGTTCAGGGACATTAAACTTATACAATCTATTTGAAATATTCCGTTCTGTTGTTGGCCCCAGGCATTCTCCCACTTTTAACACACGCAAACGCTTCGCAGGAGCCCCCTTTTTTCGCACTAAAAATAACCTCTTGCTTTGTTTGCATTGCAGACAGGATTGTCTACGGCTGATTTCAAGAAACATTTATTTAAGTCCTCAGCTTCTACGTTCGTTATAAGGATGTAAGATCTTGAGCCGGCGTAAAGATGCATGATGGTAGCCCATGCGTCATGATAAAGTGATTTTACTTGAATAGTGAGACAAGTACGAACAAATAGTAAGTGCACTATAGCAGGGACACCCTCCGAGAAAATAGTTCGAAACCACTTAAACATAGCATTGCTAAACCTACTCTAGTATTTAAAGGGCAGATATAGGCATATTTTTATCCCCTAAAAATTTTTCATCTGTTCTGATTTCCTAGTCTTACTAGTGATCCAAAAATTATGGGGATCAAAACTCACCTTTTCGAAAATTTCAGCCAGAAAAAAGGCTCCCGAAAATTCTTGGTGACCTCAGGGTAAAAATACGTTAAAAACATGGGCAATTATATGATTTTTTAGATGTTCAAAAATCCTAGAAGAGGCAGGCAAGCAAGAAATTTTAAAACAAATGTTCCGAAAATTCTAGATTTCAAATCGTCTCCCGAACAGATATTTTCCGAAAACTGACGTTGGGTGCCCCTGATATAGCAAGGGGTAAACAAAAGAAGGCAATCGAATTAGTGCATAATAGTGTAAAGTAGAAAGTATTTGAATTTCTGGTATTATGGGAATGAACTTGATTTGTCATTAAAAACAATTCTTTAAATACATTAGGAAGCAAGCCTACTTTATAAGAACTGACATAAACTATGGCGTCTTGGAAATAATTCGACTTTTTTTTTGCTGAAGTAGAACAATACGATTCAAGTTTGTGGGATACGTCGATGCCCAAACTAAATTATAAAAAAGGCTGCGTAAAGAAGTAACAGGAAGGCAAAAGCTTGATATATATATTACTCCAATCACTCATTCAATCAATCTAGAAACGAGGCTGCTTTGGCAATTTCTGACTAAAACTGAACGGAAGAACTGCAAGAATACGCAGTAACACGGTGAAGAACGGGCGTAAACATGCATGGCATTTTAATTTCCTAGGTGATAATATAACTACTGGTGCTGTAATGCAGATTTCTCACTGTCATTTTCTTAAGGGTCAAAATCGTGGTTTCACAGCCCGCAGCCAGAGTATAAAAAGAGACAGTTTAATAAAAAGGGTGTTTTCAGACCCCACAGTAAGAGGGATAATTTGCTTTTTAATCGTGGTTTTACGCACCGGAGCACATTTAAATATAACTTAATTATATATATAACTTAACTTAAAGTCACGAGATAGTCGTATGATATTTTAAAACCAATTACGTTTTAACCCAAAAAATCAAATATATATGATATAAATTAATCCAGCCAGTGGTCTATTATCAATGCTGCGTTTTGATTAGTTGAGCTGGTACTAGGCTATATGTTATAGCCCACTAATAGCGAAAAGCGCCGGCTTTGAAAGCCAAAACAATGGCGGCTGAATCGCGTTTTCCTAGCTAAAGTTGTTTTGTCTCGATATTTTTGACCAACTAGTTGGATGTTACTAAAACAATTATTCCTCTCGCTCTTCGACCTCATAGGCTATTGACTCAGAGCCCATTTGGGCTTAAGGAATAATTGTTAAATATCTGACTGGATTTGCAAAAACATGGCTATAGAAATCTCTCTCATATACCTTCTGAGTAAGCCTTATAGTGGAGCATTTTTTTTCTTCATAGGTACTTTTAATTTATTCAATTTGTATCGAATATTTACTGAATAGGGTGCTCTAGTTAGACTTTGATGAGTTTCTCACTATTTTCCTTCACTCTATCGTATTGACTTCTGAGTGTTTTCTTTGTATTGATTGTTTTACGTCACTCGTAAGTTACGCAGGTTCATCGACATCGAGGATGAGCTAAAAATAGACTCTTCAGTGGGTGCAAAATACCGGTTTAACGAAAAGTTGTGCTGCCTTCTAGGATTTTCATGGTACTAGCAGGTTCCTGCTCCCTCCATGTAAAGAGCCCCTTACATGAGACCGATCGAGTGCTTTGTATGTATGAAAAGCTCAAGGAGATACTGATATTTCCCCTATGAGAGATTGAGCTACAGCATGTGTAACTGCCTATTGTTCAATTTGTTTAAAACGAAACGTTCAAATGTTACGGCTTCGCGATGTTAAACACGACTCAGTCTGCAAATCAGTAAAATAAGGTTTAGATATCGTCAATTTGAAGGATATTTTGATCTGTCAGACAAATGAAACTTGTTTGTTCCGGAGAAGCTATAAACCATTGCGCTCTTTCAGCCAATTCTCCCAGTTTACATTTGTACACTTCCAATACCAGCTCATTAATTTCCTCTTATTTTGCTGTTAAGTGTCTCATTTCTGTAAAGACAGCAATTAAGCGAAGCTCTTGGGCGCCGCACACAGTGGAGCACCATCGGTGAGAAAATTTGGTTATCTAGTAAGCAGCCAAGAAATTTTGGATCTGACAGAATCGTCCGTACAGACGCAAGCCATTCATGTAAGCCGGGGCGAAACCTCACATTTCAAGCAACCGCGCGTTTTGGCGGTAAATCGCATGACCACCCGAACTTTTAGAGAGAAAAAAACAACAATAAAGTTAAAGAAAGTTCAGAAGAAAATTCAAATTTTGTTTTTATTTTTCTGTCAAATCGACTATAAGAAAAAAATTTTACCATACAAAACTTTTTTTCTGAGTAGTTTGAATGGTAACATCATGTCCATGTAAATTTTGTACGATTTTTAAACTGACCTCTAACGACCAACTAAGAAAAGAAGAAGAAGAAGAACAACAACAACAACAAAAAAACGTCTCACATAACGTAACAGTAAAGCCCTACCATGAAGCAATGACCTCCATTTCTCTTCTTCAGGTGGGGAGTAGAAAGGGAAGCTCTGCTTGAACCACCGTGAGTCCTTGAAGTCGACGAAGCCCGAACTTACCGACTTATCAATCACGTTTGCTCGTGTTAATCTTGTTTCGCGAGTGCGAGCATTCGTTTAGTAATAAACCCGCGGTGATAACTGAGCGACAATCTAGGACAAAAAGTGTTAAGAATTTTGCACTTTCTTACTCAAAGGAGACTCGCCCTGCGAATTTGGCACCATGATGACCCCTTCCACCACCTTTCCCTGGTCAATGTTGTTTAGTCGGGAGCAAAAATGTTCCGGCCAAACTTCAACATTTTTTTTAAGAAGAGGGGGAAGGGGGAAGTACCTTAAGTGAACGGGGCTTTAGAGGGACGTATTCTAAAATTAGACATACAAGGTGCATTTTACTTAACATTTTTGTCCAAGATTGCAGCTGTGTCGCGCGCAAAGCTTTTAGGCCTGGGTTCGAAACTGTATCCTAGCAACATACAGCGCATGCTCAACTAATATCAAATTCAAGCAAAGTCTTTCTCCAGTATGCCAAAATCGAGAAAGTGAAAAAAAGGATCTACAAGCATAGTGAGTAAAGCCTGACAATTGTGTGATTTGTACTAGCCCATTGTCATTCAGGTTACCACCGGAAACACCTGAACAACTTCCATTTAAGCCACCACAAAATGAACCCCCACCCCCTCCTGCCTGAAAAGAAAATACGCCGCTTCCTCCCCCAGAGTAACCTCCTCCTCCTCCAGATGCACCACCATCTTCCGCTCCCCCTCCCCCACCACCAAACCCTCCTACTGCCCCTGGGGGAGGCCCTCCGTTATAACCACTATTCTTTTCCCCAGCTCTTCCTCCGACCCAGCCTTAAGGGCGTGACCCGCCCCTTTCACCATGTCCAGAACCCGATACGAGGCATCCAGGACCAAACCAACCGGCGCCGACTCCCCCGCTGTTTAATCCCCCAGAGTTGCAAAGACCGGGTTGCCCTCCAACTCCTCCTCCTCGAGGACTTGCTTGGAATTTTCCAACAGAGCTGGTACCATGACTACATGTCTGTCCATCCACCCCGTTATAACCATTGGATGCACCCCCTCCCCCTCCGGCAGCTAACAAAAGAACATGACTTGTCGTATAAACAAAGCTCCCCCCTCCCCCTCCCCCAGTACCAGCATTATCCTCTACAGACAGTCCCAGCTGAGCGGCTGTCAAGTTAGTGGAATTTCCTCCTTGCACCTGGACTGAATCTCCACGTTTCTGTCCCACCACAATATTCAGTACAGTGCTCTTATTCAAACGAAACATGCCTTCCTTAATTGCCCCTCTGCCACCGTGATATGTTCCCGGGGTTATTCCATAGGTCGGTGCGTGTGTTCCTCCTCGAGCACCCCAGGCTTTTACCAGATACACACCGGTCTTCGGAACTGTAAAATTTTGAATAATGCCATGATTTCCTATTCGTCCGTCGGTTGTGAAGGAGAAAAAAGCTGAAAACAAATATATAAGCGAGTGTTAGAAAAACAGATAGGTAAGCTAATAACAATAACAATAACATTTATTATTTGTATTGCGCCTTTTCTATAAAACATTCCAAAGCTCATTCTGCGCTGAAAAAAATGCCTGATTTTCGACATATTCAGTTTAAATGACGTTTGTGGATAACTGTTTCTTGGGTTGTGGCATTGATTTCTTCTAATTTCCCTCTTCATTTTCAGTTGACAGAAGACAATACCAAGGCAATAAACAACCTCCCCCTCCCCCCCCCGCCCCCAAACACAAATCATACAAGTTGGTGATTTTAAACTACGGTAAGTTCAAAACGAAAGTGAATAAAAAATAATAAAAGCAAACAAACAAACAAACAAAACATTTTGAAAATAACCGTTGCATGATGTTCCATTTCCAGTGTATCCAGGGCTGCATGTGCAGTTATAAGATCCCTCAGTGTTATTACAGAAAGCATTGACATCACAGTCATGGACGTTAGTCACACATTCATTAATATCTGGAACGAGAGAAAGCAGCTCTTATTTTTGCAGACAGGTTATCATGAATAGAGTAATAGGGAGAGAAAGTGGAGAGAGGAGCAACGTTGTATGTTTCGGAGTTCATTATATAGTTTTATATATGACTTGAACATGATTTACCGGTGCATGATGTTCCATTTTCAGTGTATCCTGGACTGCAGATGCAGTCAAAAGATCCATCAGTGTTATTACAGAAAGCATTGGCATCACAGTTATCGACGCTAATAGTACACTCGTTAATATCTGAAAGGCGAAAAAGGCCTGATGTCATGTGTGTAAATACTGAATAATATACAACCGTTTGGTGCACTTGAGCGTTTTACTGGTACACTCGTTATTATCTTAAGTTCTAAAAAGAAAAAACTTAAAGTTTTATTTATCAGTTTAACATATTGGCAAATACAAAGACAGAAAGGGGCTAGGATCAACCCATAATTAATAGCCATTTGTCTGTATTTTAGCTTTTCTGTTTTCCCAGAAGAGGACTGAATATCAGAACCAAAGGCGATATCACTTATAGAGATTCGCAATGCAATCTCCGAAAAGGAGTTGAATTGGGGGAAGGGGGGGTGATGTCTATGAAACGGGCCGGAATGCTTGTTATAACCTTTTCACGCGTGTAAATTGCACAGTTTTGAATCGTTCGCGCTACTAAAAAACAAAAATAAATAAATAAAAAAATCGGGATGAATTGATAGTATGATGATAACCAGTTAGGGTTGTGGCCAATAAGATGCAGAAATCAGAGTATGAATTGAAATAATTGTTTAATATTTACCTGTACAGTATGTTCCATTTCCGCTATATCCTCTATTACAGGAGCAGGAAAACGATCCCTCGGTGTTATTGCAATACGCATTAACATCGCAATTGTGGGTGTTGTTTGCGCATTCGTTTACATCTTTTAAAGAAAAAATGGTTTGTTACAATGAGTGAGAAAAATATGCGTGGCGCGAGAAACATTACAAGACAAAACAGACGCATGGTAAAACAAACAAACGAAATGATTTTTACCTCTGCACACTTGTCCATCTCCAAAGTAACCTGACTTGCAAGTACATCGATAGGATCCACTTGTGTTGTTACAAAAAGCGTTGACATCACATGAGTGATTGTTGGTTGAACACTCGTCAATATCTGGAGGAATTTAAAGGGGATATATCACATAAAGCATCAAAACGGAAACAGTGGGAACCATCACCAAATTGAATGCAACAAAAATAACCGATGAAAACGTTAAAAGATGGTATTAATAACACAGCAAATACAAATCTGAAAGTTAGCAGGGATGGAAAAACTTGATGAAGCGGATTGCAATTGTGGTTTTTGAAAACTTGTCACGCTAACAGTTTTTTGCAAAATGCATTTTTCTACCCTTTGATAGAATGTGATTCTATCATTTAGAAGTTATATTAGTCATATTTATTTGAAAGCTAATAAGGAGTGTAACTGGCATTATAGACAAAATCATAATACGTTTCTGGGAAAAAGCACACCTACCCCTCCCCTAAGCCAATATTAACACTTACTTCTCACTTAGGGCAAAATGTTGACTTAGGAGAGGGGTAGGTGGGTAGTTTCCCACAAACGTATAACAATCCGTTCAGGAACGAATAAATTAGCCAGTCGTAGCTGAGCCTCTTAAAGTATCCTTTTTTTCAGCAATTGTTATTACTGTTGTCATGGAAACACCATGGGCTTTACCCTTTTTCAGTTTCAAAGCTTTTTTTTCACAGTGAGAGGGAGAAATGTTTGATATTTAAACTTTCCGTAAATCCTCTTTTAAGACCCCCCCGGGGGAGGGGGGGGGGCTTATTTATTTCAAGCCCATTTGAGGAGGGGGGCTTATTTGAGAGGGGGGTTTATTTGCTTAGAAATGACGATGGTATCAGTTCTCCATAAAGAACTAGAATACAAAGTGGAAAAGCCCAAGTACAAGAAGGTTGGAAGTCATGCAGCCGAGGATCGGAATCAAATCCGAACTTCCATTGGTAAATAAACCATCCTGGATCAGTCCACACGAAGTTTCACAGTCGTGATTGATTAATACAGTCTATCATTCATTAGTGAAGAATAATTAAGGGAGGGGAGACAGGGGGGAGGGGGGGGGGCGCTTATTAGAGAGGGGGGCTTCTTAGCTTTCTTCCCCTTAAAAGGGGGGGGGGAGCTTATTTGAGAAGGGGAGCTTTAGAGAGGATTTATGGTCGTCTTTTTATAATCAACAAGGTTATGAAAATGTTAAAGATTTAAAGGGGCTTTTGCCATTTTTTTTAAAAAAGCTAAAATGTGTCTTTTCAGCAACTGGCCTTTTCTAAGTTCTCTTTAAGCTTCTGTTTCAAAGTCGGAGGCTAAGTGCGAAGCCATTGATAATGGAAATGGTTTTTCCCCATGCAAATAAAACTCATTTTAACAAGAAAGGTTTTGCACTTAGCCTCGTTTTGAAAGTGAGAGTTTTTTTGGAACTCGGAAATGGCGTAACTCAAAAGTAATGTTCCAGTTTTGTCAAATAAGGCTATATTTAGGTATTGAAATTATTTCCTGTTGTCTGTTGCTACGAATGGCAAGGATTGACACTTGACACTTGAAATAATTTATAACGCTACGCCTGCAAAAATCACTCCCCAAAATGATAACAGTCAGTGCTCCCTGATAAAATTCGATATTTTCTTCATAACTCTACAACAAAATGTTGTGTTTAGGTGAAGGCACTGAGCAATGACTTCAACCCAGAATCAACCAATGGTGACATGGCCCTTAATTAGAGCTTAATTTGCTAAGTATCTTGATAATAACCATTGCACGATGTTCCATTTCCAGTATATCCAGAGCTGCATGTGCAGTTATAAGATCCCTCAGTGTTATTGCAGAAAGCATTGGCATCACATTCATGGACGTTGGTTGTACACTCGTTGATATCTGAAAGTCGAACAAAACCATACTGTAATTCACATTCACATTCACATATTTTATAACAGAGACAGAGAGAGGACATAATTAACACAAAATGTTGATACAAGAATAATGTAATTGGGCGTGTATTGCTAGCTATTGCTCTTTTCTCTACCCTGTCGAAGCCTGCGAATGCAGCTGTCTCTCCTTGCTCATGTTTCGCAGAATGGACGTCTGCGCGCCAGCAAATTTTTAACTGGCTGGAAGTACGTAAACAAGATCAACAAAGGAAAAGCACGTAATACAGTCAAACTTCCCATAAGCGGTCACTCAAAATGCGAAGATTCAGAGTTATCATACGGGAGGTGGTCGCTTTACGAGAATCGAACGATAGGAGAGACTTTTCCGATCTGAAGTCCTGACACATACTTTTTGAAAGAGAATTTACTGGATGCAATTTCTTCTTTCTTAAGCTCCGTGTTATCACTAAATTTTTTTCGTATACTCTGAGTAGCGCAGTTCATACAGAAAACATAGAGATCAGTCCATGCATCAACTAGCCTCCTACAAGAGTTAAATGCAGTGGAAAACTTGTCTCCTCAAAAAGTGGTCGCGGTCGTTTGCGAGAGGTTCCAACTATTAGTAATTTCAATGGGAAATTTTGGGGTTTTGGATAAGTGGTAGCCAACGGGAGGGGGTCGCACCTGGAGGCTTGACTATAAAATGAAATTCAAACAATGAATCAAGAAAAATATTAACAATTGATTTTACCTAGGCACTCTTGTCCACTTCCATAGAACCCAGAATTACAGGTGCAGTTATGAGACCCAATGGTATTGTTACAAGAAGCATACACATCACATGAATCAATGTTGGTTGTACACTCGTCAATATCTGCAAACAGGTAAAATCCTTTTAATTTCAGGTAGTTATAGCAGTGCTTAACGCGAGCGCAGCCCCACAGCGGAGAGAATTTGCTAATCTATCCATTATAAGGGACTGTCCATCCGCCAGTCCGTCCGCACCACAGGGAAACCAATGTGAAATGTCACACTTTGTGGCTAGAGTGGGAGCCTGCAACCTGATATTGCACATGCATGTTGTGGTCAATAACAGGGTACCCACTTACCAGTATCACATGACCGTATCGCAGGTTTAGGTGTCGACTCAACGAGATTGTGTGTTTATTGAAGTTATCCGCTGACAAGTTACTAGTTTTTACCCCATCCCAGGCTTAACATGCATAGTTACAAGTTTATTGCTTTAGTTTTGGCTAAATCGATATGTTACAGTCACCGAATAGAGATGGTAGGGGAATTCGCAAGGGCTAAGGATGATGTAAAGATGTGTAAAGCTACCCTATTTGAGATATGTTTAGTGAATGGGTGCGACCAAGAGAGAATCAGGTAAGTTACCTCATTCTCTCTTGGTGCGATTGAAGAAATTAACTATACGCTCTATAATAGCTTCAAAAGTGATATCAAATAACAATGAAATATGTTAAGACAAGCAGAACTTGAAAACAGAGAATATAAAATCAGAATACTGTGTTTTCGTCAAAGGTATAACACAGTATAATGAGATTGATGGGGTCGAGGCTGCCTGATGCCAATTTGTTAGAAGAGAATTTGCCCAGAGAACACAGGTCTCAGACGAATTTTTTCCTTAAATCCATTGTCCGAGGGAAAAATGCATAAAATTGAGTTGTCTAGTTTAATTATGTGGTGGATAATTTTTTTAATTGTTCTCTATAGATGCTGGATCATGAACCATTCAATGCCCATTCTGAAATTAGAGTTAACCTCTTCGCTAGTCAATCCGCGCTTGTCGTATCTATTTATACGCCTCTTTGTTTGATGTAAAGATTACGATTAGCGGATTTTCGTAGACGAAACAGAATGTCAGTGGAAAACGCTAATAATATAAGCTGTAGTCAGCCCTTTAGAGATCATAAAGTGTAACAAAGAAAAAGCTAATAAAACAGACAGCATATAAGTTGGATAGCAAGCTTCCCAACAAGATAGTGCCTCATCGAGCAAATTGTCTCGATACGAGCGTATACGTTTGGATTGCCTTGCAAGGAATACTAAAAATAAATAAATAAATAAATCATTAAGTAAACATGGTTACCAGTACACGACGTTCCATTTCCGCTGTATCCTCGATTACAGGTGCAATGATACGATCCCTTTGAGTTACTGCAATAGGCGTTGACATGGCATTTGGTGGTGTTGGTCACGCATTCGTTAATATCTTATAGAAGCCAAAAAATAAGTAAAAACATAAATAAATAAAAATCAATCGATCGATCACTTAATCAATAAAGCACTGTTAGGCCAGCAGAGCAAATCAAACTTTGAGGTTAACTTGTGCTGAACCAAATGTGAATAGGCGAGAACAATAAATTTTGCTCATTAGCATTTAGGTCAGGCACATTTGAAGTGAAGTTCGACGCTTGACAGATGCCTTCAGGGAGGACCCCTTAGGATGGGGGAGGGAGGGGGGGAGGGGTTATGATGTATGTCTCTAGGATGAATTTCAAATGCGATGGTTTCGCGTTTGGAAGAGTAGGCCATATCCTTGTTAGTATTTTACCCATCTTAATGTCGTTTGTCGCCATTTCATCTGTCTTTCATCAATCAAGGCCATGTTGGTTGTCCCAGTTTTACCTTAACAGGGCTTCATTAGAGATAGGGTAAGAGGAAGAATGCTTGACATGTCAAATGAAAAAGAAACAAACAGAATTTCCCCGGTTCACTGAGCAATACCAGGCAAATCATACGCGTGATAGAAAGCTAAGAAACAGGACTAACAACGACAACAATGACAATGATTTTTACCAAAGCAGGCTTGTCCATTTCCAAAGAACCCAGGATTGCAGCTGCATTTGTAAGATCCATTTGTGTTGTTACAAAAGGCATTGACATCACATGTGTGACTGTTGGTTGAACACTCGTCAATATCTAAAAAGGAAGTATTGAACCTTTTTTTATAGCAATTATTTTGTCATCGGAAGTCATAACAATTGCAAGTTTATTAAATAGAAAAACAACAACTTATCGCCCCAAGTAAAGGAATCCGGATCTCGGAACGTTTTCGGGTATTCTTTGCTGGTGGAATCCAGAACCCAGGAAATATTTGCGTACGGAAATCAGGAATCCTGGACTTTGCAATCCGTCAACTAGCTCAAGAAATTCGGAATCCCCTTAATTATTTGAATCCCGAATCCAAGTTCCACTGACAGGAAATCCGAAATCCAGTACCTGGAATCCAGAATCCAGGGTGTGAAATCCAGAATCCAAGTTCGACTGACTGGAATCCAGTACCTGGAATCCGGAATCCAGAATCCGGGACTGTCATGGATTACCTCACACTGGGGGATTAAAACTTAGCCAAATCATTATGCGTTTCTTATACGTTTTCCACCATTAACACTCCTACTCACCAGTGCATATTTTTCCGTTTCCAGTGTATCCATTGTTACAAATGCAGCCATGGCAGTTTTCCAATGTTTTACAAACAGCATTAGCGTCACATAATTGAGGGTTCGTTGCACAGTCGTCATTTTTAACAGCTGTGTAATTAAGCACAAAAACAGATTAGTGAAAGAGAGGATAACGGGTAAGGGATGTCATCTATCATTGTAGGCGCTGTCCTGTCTCTTTCAAGTTATTTTAAGAAACAAAATTGGTGGACGAAAACCAAATCTCAAAACGTATTATCAGATCAATAAACTCAAAAGGTTGATATTATTAATTTTTATTTTTTCGCTGTTTTATTCAATAATTCACTTCATGGAGCTCTTAGTTTGCATTAAGTCATCCAGTCAAATGGTGCAAGTTATTCGCTTGCAATATGTTATTAACTCTAATTTATATCAAGGCATGTGTTCAAAACAAGGTCCAACTCTGCGCGAGCTCTGCTTCCATTTCCAGTTACGAACTTTCCGATAAGGAACAGAATTAAAATATAAACAAACAACTGTGTTGGATAAATCTGGCCACGGTTTTTGGCAGGTTTAATGAAATCAAAGCAAACAGAATCACAGCACATCGATATATGTAAACCGATTAACCTACTGAATAAAAAATTGGGCGACAAAAATCCGCCACAAACTACCGTGACAACTAAATAAGAAAATGAAAAAAGAAGAAGTAGGAAATACCGTTAACAATAATAACCCGCAGGCAGGTGAAAGGGGAGAAGGAGGGAAAGATTTTGCTCGAGATCTGACCGAGTTGGAGAGAAGGAAGAATTACCGGGTAAATACCTCGATATACTTACTTAACCCTGACACAGCCCTAATAACCTCATTGGCTAGATTTGCAGTACCTGGTACAGCCTGGCCTAGCGAGTTATCATGTGATCATCATGCCTTGCCATAAATTACATTATGTCTACCATAATGTCTAGTTTTTTGGAAAACACTTTTCGTGTGTTTTATAAATTACACGACGGATAGCTTGAAATAGATAGAATTAAGTCGCAGGGAAATAATCAAGACATGTAAGGTCAAAAATCAATGCACTAGTTTACGAAGAGGACGTAGTTAGCGCACAACCAGCCAGCTAACGATTTCTTTGTTACCACTCAGATAAACAAGTATCCTTATTTAGCGATATGCTTCTGAGGGCTATGAACCATGCCATATATTTAAGTTGATCGTTATATTATTTTTCTCTTAGAATTTAAGTAAACATACTCATTGTAGATGGAGACGTACAAAACTGATTTTCCCTCCACCACCACCCCCCCCCAAAAAAAGAAAGAAATAAAATTTAATTTCAGATATTAGGCCACAGTCAAACTATTGCTTTTTCCCCTGACCACAAGACAACAATATCCGTTTTCCGAAAGAAAACACTTACCAATTACGAACATTTCCGTTTCACGAGCGCTCAGGTGTAGTGGAAGTACAAGTGTGGTATACTGTGTTTTTTTTTTTTAAAGTTTGCAATTTATATTCTACAAGAGTCTGATAACTATTTTAAAATGTAGTTCCAAAGCAATGCTTTTCAAAACTTAAAGCGATTCAGTGATTATCCAAATAGTTAGCTGACTACTGAGCGGAAGCTGTTCGTCACAGTTAACCAGTTTGGGGCTTCGGGGAGGGCTTGTGGAATGCCATAATTTGGAAGCGACCATTTAGCAGTGCCCGTAGAAATTCCGCATTTTTGAGCAGTATTTGGGCAGAGTTTGGACAATTCCCAATCAGCCCTTTTTCTACTCGTAAATTGAAAAAGCCCACTATCTTTTCATTCATTAATTTCACTTTTAATTACCTTTTAGAGCGTTGAAATAAACAAGGTCAACTACTTTGCTCACCAAACAGTTTCAATGACTGAATTAGCAATAATAAAATAAGGTTATTACTAATTATATGCAACGGTTTGCTTTGCAAGTAGAATAAGATAGATCCAGCGTGAATATTTACAATTCATTTTAGTTTAGCGATTCTTTTTTGCTTCATTTTAATTTTTGCAATTGAGTTAAAGCCCTGGTTTCCTTACTGGGAATCAATTTTTGCGTCAATTGTAGCATTTGCAATTAAAATTCTTTAGTTTATTTGAGTCAAAATACAAGCGAACCAGCATCCAAAATTACCTGAACACCGCTCTGTATTAACGAAGAATTAAAGATAATTTTCATGGCCATAATAACTAGTATAAAGTTTAAAAAACCCTGTTGTGTTTATAACTAATAACTAAAGCTTAAAACTTAATACACTATTTTCAGGGATAGCTCTTGGAGGGCTCTTGATTTCCTGTAAATCTCTAATAAGCTTAAGGTATAAATTGTTCACTGGCTCTTACCTTGCACCGTGCTTTTTGATGCATTTGGATCTTTGTTTCCAGACCACTTCATCATGATGACAAATCCTAATGTGGCAGCAGCAATTATGAGGGTCATGGTTAAAGCAGCACACATAAAGACCTGCATTCGCCGGAGTTTTCTGAGTTCTTCTTGCACAGTATTCTCAGACACTGATGGGGTTTGTTCTCTTTTGGTCTATTTCTGATGAAGATTCTCATCAACTTTCACTTTTGTTGCTGCTTCTCCGACGATATCGTCATAGTCTTTATAAGTTCCTGTCTTGCCTTGGAGCTCGAGACATTGTGCCAGTGTTGTATCGTAGTTGCAAATGAGTTAGCAACACCTGCTTTTGACTTTGACTAGTTACTAACACCTTCCCTTTAAGTAGCTAGCTGTATACGTTTCATACGCCTCAAATATATGTGGTCGACTGCGTTTGAATAAGATACTAATAGTTTGCAAAAACAGGAGCTAGAAGATATCATACTTAATTGCAAAGTTTACAGGATATGACGCCTGCTAATAGCCAATGTGGTTGCCTTAAATGTTGACCACATAGCTAGAAGGTAAATGACTTACATAAAAGGGAACAGGAACATATTATTTGATTTCAACGTGTACCGGAAATGACTTCATCTTATTGCACTAACTTGCAATTTCCGAAACGCTAGGTGGTTTTGATATACGTAACTAAAACTGATTTTATGTATCATGGTAAAAACGTTGATCGCACATTTAAGTTTTCAAGTTTACGCAATACGACGATCGCATTGCCGTTCCGATCAAGTTTGACAACCTCAGTCGTTTCGATTACGGCAACGAAATCTGCCACGAAAAGTGTGCTGCACGTTGAGAGTTTTTGTTTTGCTTATTAAACCTGTTGGTTTCTATTTCCTCGTTTCCGTAGTCGTCTTCTTCCTTGCTAGCAAAGGTCTCTCACGGGGAGAGGAAATTGAGAGGAAGGAGAGAGACCTCGACCGGCGCCCGACGCGTTTCCTATCACGCATGCGCTGGGGTTTCCTTAGCAACCAGTGACACGTTCGACGGAGGCGTGGGAGTGTTGTGAAAAATTCTTCGCGATAAAGAGATGTCGCGTACTCCGCACGTAATCGTATAGCACCATGAATTCTTTAATGGCGATCGGGATCAGTCATCCATCTCATAATTCATTGATTCACTGAGCGAATTAGATTTTTGGGTCAAATAAGCTCTCACTGCCAATCAAAGGAAAAAAATACACTCACATTTTAAAATCTCAATATATATAGCACAAAAGTACTAATTGGTTACGTCTCCCACTGGAGACGAGACCGCCATTTTATGTGGTCATCCGAGCCAGGCAAAGGTCTGGCCCTTTGCAGAACCGTCCTATAAATAAAGGTGTTTAGCTGCTGTAATACCTCATGAAAGTAGAAACTCAGAAGAATCGATAATTCTTTAGTTTAAATTTTGGTGACGTCATGTGAAAACCATTAATACATCGCACAAGCCCAATTCAAGTCCTGTCCTTACGAATCCTAGCAGGCTGAAACCGCATACTTAATTAGACTCGAAAAATTCCTCTCTGGAGCAGTTAAACAAACAAAAAAAAGATGCACCTTCGGTGAGCGGATTCACTGCTTGTGCGTAGGCGGAGGGCCTCAATCATGAAAAGCTACGTAGAGAAGAGACGGGATCTTCAGCAATGTAAGGAGAAAAATTCACAATTCCCTCACATTTGTAACCCCTTGCCATTTGAAATTGTTTAAAAATAACTTCACAGTGGCGGATCCAGGTACAGCGCCCGGGGGTACAGCCCTTCCCCCTTATTTTTAGATCAAACTGAAAACCGAAAAAAAATTTTTGAGAGACCGCCCCCCCTACTTATCTAAGGGTCTGGATGACCGCTCCCCCCCCCCCCTCCACTTATCAAGGTAAACTGCTTCACGTTCAAACGATACTTCGCATTGTTACAACGCTGCAACTCAATAACAGGGTTTAAATAAATCATGTAGTCAAGAAAAAGGCTATATTTTGACTTCACCGGTTGTAGAAAAAAACCTGCTCATTCGGAAAGGGCTATACTCAAAATTACGTGGAGCATTTCTAAAATTCCAAACCTGAATGTCGCTGTATTTATTCCTTGGTAAACCATTGCGCTTTCAGTCAATCCTTCTGAATTGAACCTGTACACTCCAAGGCCGGTTCCTTTCGTTTCACAATTAACTACCTTATTTCTCCTCGAGAGACCCTGTCTTTAATAGCAGCGGCGATACTCGTCTAGATTTCCTTTATCAATAAAAAGTCGCGACGGAATCACTCGGCTTTGCTGTTTCCAGCATAAGACGGCTAACATTTTGGGTGGATTCATTTGGAACATACGCGTATAGCTGTTGTATTTGCCCACAAAAGGTCTTTTGTTTTTAAGCTTAAAAACAATAAAAAATTCCAGCAGGCAAATTAAATGCGACAGCTTTACGCTATGTTGCAAATGAATCCAACCAATTAAAAAGATAAGATTCTGGATTAATGCCATTGTGCCACCTATGTGGGCATGGAATCCTTGAAAACAAACGAAAGAGTGGGCGTGATTTTCCTAAATGGGTCCCTGAGGAATCGTCACCAGTGCGATAAAAGTTTAGCTGCTCGTGTTTATGCGAATTATCACAATTGCGCCCTAGCTTAAGAGCCTGTTTACGTGGAGTTGGGGGCACCAGATAGGTGGGGTAACTTGTGGCGGGTAACCCCACCTATCAAATTTAAATGAGAGATTATACAGACGGGCGGGTTACCCCACCTACCTGGGGTCCCCCACCTCGATGTAACCAGAAGCGAAAAGTTAATTGGATCAAGGAACGTGTTTTCCTTATGTTTGGAACAGACAAACAAATCTTAAGCGACTGATAAGGGTCTGGCGTAAAGGCGCGGGTCCCATGACTATTGGCAGGCTCACACAGGGTACCGACGCATTTTGCGTCCTTTGACTCTCTGATTTACAACTGTAACGGTTAGGGGGCGTGCAAAGATATTAGGCTGATTTAGCAACAGAACAGGAACGTCAGTTGACGACGGTGCGCGCAAATCAAACAACTGGCTTGACCATTGGCAGAGCGGTAAATTGAGCACTGGAAGTCGTGTTTAGTCCTTTCCGCACGCTTTCCCTTCGTCAACAGACGTTCCCGTCCTGTCGCTAAATCAGCCTAATTTACCTTCAAAGTGACGTGCTTTTGGGCTACTCTCCTTTTTGTAGGAACTGCACTCTAACTCAACGTGTAAATTATTTTGATTCTAAAAAATATTGTAAGGTTTTAATCCAACAGGATGTATCTAATGCAAGGAAAACAAGCCCGAAGTCGAACTGTTTCGAATTGCACTGGAAGTTGTTTTGGTCAGTATACAAATTACCTCGTATCTTTTCCATCGAACTGAAATATCCTGGCTTTCTTCGTTTCATTTTATACAATTTTTATGAAATCATAATTCTTTTAAGTGAATTTACGATTTCTGAAGAAAAGAACTTCGACGAAACGTTGCGTTTCACTTACACTTACATGCAAATTACCCTTCACCGTCAAGAAATAAACAGGAGAAAAATAAAATAAATGAATATTAAATAAGCAAAGTCATCAGAAATTTTAACAGTTCTATATTGCTCAAGTAGAGACAGACAATTTCATGATTTGTATAAGTTCATCATGCCACCTGTCACGCATAAACAATTTAAGCCACAACGGGACGAACCCCAGCGCCCCTCCCCCCTGCTAATTACGGCCAGACGCCGATTCCTCCGCCAACCGAATTTATCTGGGCTATAATATTTTAAAAGATTTCCCAATCATAATTACCCGATCTTGCAAATAATGTAACAAAATTAGACCGCAACAGTACCATTCCATCTCGTCAGCTACGTTCATCATCTACAAATCTTCTTTCTATTCCTCATTTTAATTTGAGAACATTGGCAGCCCCCACACTCTCGAATACTGTGCCGTCTGACATTAAGAAGAGCTCCTCTGTGTCCATTTTGAAAAGCAAACATAAAAATTTCCTTAAATCATTTTTTTGGTGTGTGTACCCATTACGAGTAAATGTCACCAGTAAAAACGTGACCGATTCGTTTTTCATGCTAAACAGACAACAAAGGCCGGCAATTTCGGCTCCAAATGATAAGTACACGCGAAGGAACTGGGACCAGTTTCAAGACCAACACCTTCTTGACCGAGAGAGGTTATAATCTTATAATCGCGAATAAAATGTTTAACTAGACAAATGAAAAATAAAATGTTTGTTTCCTTCCTCCAGGCGGCCAGTGATAATTGCAGTCTCTATGATATCGCAATAGTATGCAACGTAGGCAATGCGCAGTACAAGACAGGGGTAAAGATGGATCGTCCGTTAAGTAGTCAAGAGCTTTTCTTCATACCTCAGACTAAGAATTAACAAAGAGTTTTAGCCACTCTGAGGATAAATCGTTTTTATTATTATCTCGCAGTATACAACTTTGGAATGCTGTCTACATTATGAGTAGTATAGGGTGCATAACGTAACCTACAACACTTGAGAAGCTATACTTAGAAGTAAAAAAAGGTCGGTACGAAACCTAATACGATCCTAATATACATAATGATATGAATCTCTCTACTTAAAAAGCCAATTGAGAATATTATTAAATTCTTATACTCTGTAAAACCTACGCAAAGACACGATGATATAATTATCTCTACTAGAAGCCTATTTAGAAAATTATTCAGTTTTTATACTCTCATTATCTCTTATATACCTAAACGAGGCCATCATAATGTGGTTATCTCTATAATTATTATTATTATTATTACTATTATTACCGTATTTATTCGATTAACCGCCCTGGGCGCTTATTAAATGTTTGCACCTTCAGAGTGGGCGCTTATGCGAGGTGGGCGCTTATTCGAGACTGGGCGCTTATTAAATTCTCACTATTTTCAGCAAGTGTAGTATGTTTATTTTGCAGCAAAATAATAAATGGTAATAACAAAACGCGAAGAAGTAACAAAGCAAGGTTTCTGCAAACTACTCTGAAGAAAACTCCGTCTTCGGGGAAGTCTCTTATTCGCACTTATTCAATTTCAATTTCAATTTTATTGTCACTCAAGTGGGTGGGGTGGGGGCGCTTATTCGAGGCTGGGCGCTTAGTAACTTTTTCTGCCTTTAGGATGGGCGCTTATTCGAGGCGGGCGCTAATTCGAGGTTGGGCGCTTATTCGAATAAATACGGTATTATAATTACTATTATTTCTGCTGATTAACGTTCATTGTATTCGATCGCGGATTACCATTATACATTAATATACAGTATTTGACATTCTACTACAGAACACTCTAATAATAATCAGTTATAAACCGACAGTGGAAACTATTCTTTTTTTTTATCATGGCCTTAGTTTCTTGGTTTAGACAGACGATTCCACGATTTTAAGAAGTCCGTTGTCATTTGAGTTACCTCCACTCACGCCTGAGCAATTCAAGCCACTACAATAAGAGCCCCCTCCCCCTCCTGCTTGGTTTGAGTGTGTGCCGCTACCTCCCCCAGAGTAACCACCACCTCCTCCTGATGCACCATTATCTTCAGATCCCCCTCCGCCACCGCCAAACCCTCCTACGGCCCCAGGGGGAGGCCCTCCGTTGTAGCCACTATTCATTCTTCCAGCACGTCCACCTACCCAGCCCTGAGCACGTGAGCCGCCTCTTTCACCATGCTCGGACCAGGCCCTGGAACAACCTTGGCCTAACCATCCCGCACCCACTCCCCCATGATAATTACCGCCTGCGCTGTTACACTGACCAGGATTCCCTCCAGTTCCTCCGCTACGAACATAACCTGAAACGTTTCCAACGCTACTGGTGCCGCTAGTACCCGCCTGACCATCCACCCCGTTATACCCGCTGGATGCACCCCCTCCTCCTCCGGCAGCTAACAAAAGCACGTTACTTGTTGTATAAATAAAGCTCCCTCCACCTCCCCCGGTACCAGCATTGTCCTCTACGGACTTGTTCAGCTGAGCTGCTGTCAAGTTAGTGGACTGTCCTCCTTCTACCTCTACTGAATCTCCTCCTCTTTGTCCCACCACAATATTCAGTACAGTTCCTTTGTTCAAGGTAAACGTTCCTTGCATCCTTGCCCCTCTACCACCATGGTACGTTCCAGGATAAAATCCATAGTTTGTCGAGTGTGTTCCTCCTCGGGCACCCCAGGCCTTTATCAGATATACACCAGTGTGCGGAACTATGAATGTTTGAATAATCCCTTGTCGCCCCGTGGCTCCATTTGTTGTAAAATTCCTGGTAAAAGGCACTAGTAAATTAAAACAAACTTGAAGTCAAAACAAGCCAGATTGCCAAGCTCCTTACAATACGTAAGTCATCAGGTTCGCGTCCAATGGCTCTCTCATAATTTTTCCTCTATTTACTTTAGATAAAATCTCCTCGTTTTATGGTCGAGTAAAGCCACCGAGAGAAATTAGTAGTAGGAATATGTTTAATGAGGAATACTGTGTTTAATAATAATATGATTAATGAGTATTATTATTCATTCAAAATATTTCCCCGATTCTGATTGGCTAAAAGCACACGTTTAATTCACCATAACCAGTTACTGATGACCAAATTTGGAAGAATTTTGTGTTTAGCGAGGAAATGAGTCAAAAATGCACCGTTTCTGCAGGTTAATGCACCGTTAACCGAGAAGACCTGAGGACGAGGTTGAGTTGTTTTGGTTGTGGAAACAAAAATGGCGGACATTTCACTCGTTTCCAGAGTAAGAACTAGGCGAAATAATAGCTAAAAACATGGCAAGAACAGCAAGAGGACAACTTGAAGGGCGACATCTGCTATTTGGAGAATCTTTGCGGAGCTGAACAACCCTAAACGTGCACTATCGAAGATGAGCTTAACATCGATGGATCGGTGGAGGTAAGCATGTTTTAGCTTTGTTTTTAAACTAGGAATTATTTTGAATGAATAATAAAACAATTATTGAATTCGGCTTTCGTGTCATATGAAGAATTATGGAGATCTCGGAGGGTGTTATCCGCCTCAGCCTACGGCCTCGACGGATAACACCCTCCTCGATCTCCATAATTCTTCATAAGATACTCAGCCTCATTCATTAATTGTTAATAATAATAATTGTTATATTCCTAGACTTTCACTCAACTAAACAGGGACCGCCATTGGTTGATTCTTGGTCACGTGGCCTTGACTAAAATCAAATGTTTCCGATCGTGATACATTAAGAAATGTAGCCCGCTCGGGATACATTAAGGCACGTGATCAAGGCATGGTGGAAAGTGGCGTGAGAGAAGGCGGGAAAAACACTGATTGTTTTCTTTTTCGTTAATGAACACAACAACACAACCAGGAAGCCTCAAGCTAAAAACGATTTTCAAAGTTATCCCAGAAGAGAGACAGCAGCTAGTGCAGGGAAAAGATGCAGATAATATAAGAAAAGTACTTTGTAAATCATTCATTCAGTGGTTTTGAGAATTAAATTTGTGTTCTTGTAAGTGCCGAGTCGACTGTTTTCGTTCGCTCCGGTCATTCTTTTGCTGCTGTTGGAGTGAAAGTCCTGAAGTTCCCTCGACTTCGTCTCGGGAAACATCAGGACTCTCGGGAAAACAAAACTAACTGGTTTCCGGAGGAACCTGACATGAAGTGTATATGGTAATATGTTTAAAGAGGAAGAGTGCCGACAGACTATCTCCTATCTGCAAGGGTATTCTTGCCCAAACCTTTATTGCAAGAAACCTACGGCGAATACAGTTCGCAATACAAGAACGACGACTTAATGCTGAGTAAGGGTAAGCACACCTTTGCAGATAGGAGATAGTCCTTCGGCACTCTTTCCCTATTTGTGCGCCAACTTTCACAAATCTGTTAGCGTTGTATTTTAAGGTTAAAATTTGACCAGCATTTTGTGCAGCGAGTTCTACGGTCACGATTGACTTCAGACTTGTAGATATAAAACTAGAGAGATCCGAGGCTTATTTGCTGAAGTTAGAGAAAGATCTGTCGTAGAGTTTACAAGTTATTGACATTTTTTGTAAAAATGCGATTGTAAAAATATGCTGATATCTCAAGAGTTTTTATACCCACAAATAAATAACTCTTTCTTAAAGTTACATCATTCTTAATTAAGGCTGCCAAAAATCATAGAGAGAGGTTAAATCATTCCCGCCGAAAAACGTGATTCAAAAACATAACCAACGTGCATATAAATAGGTTCGGGCCACCTTAACAAATCCCTTCGCGACTTCTCTAGCTCTTGTAGTTTTTTGGTTTGCACCTTGAGTAGCTTCTAGCAAGTTATCATACTTAGAAGACAATGAAGACTGTTTTTGCTCAATATTCTGAAGACGTTCATTTACAGTCGCAATCTGCGATTGAAGTTGTACTTTAACTGACTCAATTTCAGACTAAATAGCGGGCAAAAACTCTTTTTCCCACAGCTCTCTCAGATGTTTTACGGTCAGCTTCTCGTTTTCCTTAACCATAATCCGTTAACTAGACGTTCTCTTAGCTAAACATTTGCAAGAGCGGGAGCATATGTAAGTATAATATATATACCGGTGCATGATGTGCCATTTCCAGTGTATCCAGGGCTGCATGTGCAGTTATATGATCCATCAGTGTTATTGCAGAAAGCATTCGAAGCACATTTATGGACGTTAGTCGTACACTCGTTAATATCTAAAAGGAGGGGGAAAAAAGGCTACTGTTACGTTACTAGAAACAGATGAGTGGCAGAATTTGACATGAAATTTTGCATGACAGGGCATGGCAGATTGTATACCTCTCATCACAAGTCGGTCAGGGGCATATTATACCTTAAACGCAGAGACTCTGAATTCTTGTTTATTCAGCACCAAGCCTTGATCGACAAGAGGTACTGCGGTAAGCCATGAGCTCGCACCTTGTCTCTCAATTGGTTAACTGACCGCAGCAGATCCGAGGGTAGAGTGGAATCAATACTTTCCATTCTGGATTTAACCGACGCAGTTTTCAAGGCTTGATGTTGTCTTTTTAACTCTGCCGTGGAATTCTCGCCTGCCAGCATGAACATGCACTGTGTGGTAGTAGAATCTACGTGCGATGCTGTTATTGACGTAGAATCAGCAAATTGCTGTGGAGCTTCAAACCGTAAGTCGGGTACGCCTAGCCCTCCTTCAGCGGGTGTCAAAGTGACGAGCTGACGCAGATCACTAGGGAGGGGATCCGTTTGTCGCTCCGTTTATAATAATTTTTTCATAATAATAATTTTATTGAACTTAAAAACAAAAATATGTACATAATTTACAGAAATATTTGAAGTAAGAATTAAGCACTATATAACATTAAGAATTACATAAATCATAAAAATAGCAATCGCTTTGTCAATACTCGGCGATTTCGCAAATAAATTCCTTGCAGATGGGTGCCAAAATTGACAAGAAACCATGGTGTATGGGGAATTAAGTAGTAGGATTTATCTAACATTTTCTTTTTCATGACACCAAATAGGAAGCAGTAAAAGGAACAACTGTTGTCTAATAGACTTAAATTTTAGCTTGTATATGTTTTGTTTTTCCAATTCAGACCACGTGATGTTCTCCATGGAATTTACCATTTGTCTTTTCATAAATTATACATACATATGCAGGTGCATGCACATTCATAGGACGAAATTGTAAATAAACAGTTCTCTGGGGTACCATTTAACGAGGTCTGAAATGGAAAAACAAAACACACAAGCTAACAAGGTCTATTACAATTTACTTGCACTTGTATGCCATGAGTATTAGCATACTGATAATAATAATAATAATAACTAATAATAATAATAACAATAATAATAATAATAATAATAATATTAATAATGGAAACTTTATTTGTGTTTTTGAATGTACAATTGTAAATCTCTCTACGTATAGGCAATTTACAAATGCTGCTTGAGATTGGATTATTTATAAAAAGAAAAAAAAAACAGAAAACAAAAAACAACAAAAACAAAACAAAACAAAAACAAAACAAAAGCCAGAAAAAAAAATCAAAATTGCATTAAGTCTGGGCTATCCCAGTTCCTATTTCTACAACAAAAGATATAATATGTTGCTCTAATGGATATATTTATCATTTTCTTGATTATATAACGTTGCTGCTTTTTGTCAATGTCAATGCCATTCATCATGTCGAAGAACGTGGAGCATTCATCGGAGAAAACGCCAAGGGAACTCATGGAGAGATTTACAAATCTCACACATCTGCAATTTCTGCTCATTTCGTTGATCAAGTTCAGATATTTTTCTTTCTTACGCACTGCATTGTTGTTAAGGTTAGACTCGAAACCAATAATAATAATAATAATAATAATAGAAATAATAACGAGTAATAATTTTAATAAAACCTCAATTAAAATCCTATTTACAATCAACCTGCTGTTACAAAAAATCTAATCAATTCATCAAAACACTATCTACGATTCCATCCGTTACAAAAGAAACCCCTCGGCCTTCATTAGAGAACAAAAACAATCTTATATATAATAAGTGAAGAAAGAAAAAACTATTCATTTACAAATTCTAAAAAATAGAAGTAACTTAAGAATTAAGAATTCCATTATGCAGAGATATTAAGATCATACAATCGAATTATACTAATGACGGCTAAACCAGTGTCCATAAAAAGCCCTAAGTATAAAAGCATATAGACACGTATTTCAGATATCCGATCTAGCGACATTTATTTTACTATTTTTTTTATTTTAATAATAATAATAATAATAATAATAATAATAATAATGTATGAACAGAATGATTGACTTGAGTGAAGAACACCAGCAAAGACTGTGATAATAGAGATAATAATAATAATAATAATAATAATAATAATAATAAAAATAATAATAATATCAGAGAGAGCTACTATGACAGAGATTCAAAAGATCTGCATGCTGGGAGATAATAATAATAATAATAATAATAATAATAATAATAATAATAATAATAATAATAATGATCGACCATATTTTATTGATAACATACTAACTATTAAAATCCTATTTACAATTAATTCACTTAAAAAAACTATTTTGTCAAAACACTATTTACAATTCCTTTCGTTTAAAAAAATACCACTTAGTTTTGATTAGGAAAAAAAATCATTTCATTAAACAAAAATTATTCAAATTAAGAACATTTCACTTCAATTAAAACAATTCATTTCGAATAAAAAAAAGAATAAACTTTTTTCATGGTAAATTGCATTCTTACTTAGATAATTACTAAAAAAAATCACTAAAAAAGAGGAAAATCAAATAGCGTTGTCAATGTGTTAATGACGAATATTTGCCATTTCAAAGTAGGGAAACACATCAATAGCCCGATTGAATGGCTCCTTCAACAACTTCGACGTCAATATCAACATTCTTAATGTCACATGGCACTCTTCTTGTCCTAGAGCCTCTAAGACAAACCAACGCAGATCTCAAGAGTGCGAATGAGGTTCTGTTTCTGATCCATGAGATGGTTTTGGCATACTGCTTCCCTTTTTTGATGGCAATCAGCTGTGCTAAACGGCTATGATACATCAAGCACTCCTTTCCTATTCCGCCAGCTGTGGTGAAGACCAAAGGTGTAAATGTTCCATACTCGATGTCCAGGACTCTCTTTGAGTAGAGACGCTTTTCACGTTCTCATGGATACGATAAATTTGTTGTGGTTCTAGGTCCCTATACGATACAGCATTAGGGTGACAGACCCTCACATCGAAGAATGCTGATCCATGTCGCTCCCAGAAACCACGCGCGTGGATATCTAACCTCGCATCCTGAGCTTTGTTAGATCCTCTGTTTAAATGTTCGCAGCAGATGTCTTGAAGTACTGGGTCGATCTCGACATCGCTACACACCATACTAGGAAATTCAGCTATTAAGTTTGCAGCAACCCAACCACAAGCCTAGCTGCTATGCACATTATCTGATATTGAGGAGCTGCTAGAACCATTGGAACGCGCTATTAGTGATACCCAAATACCATAAATTACGGGCCATACATGCACAATGAGTAAGCGACAAATGCTTCAGGGCGGAAAAACGTATTGAGCATGCGTGAACTTTTTTGCCCAGATCCCCTGGCCGGGTTTGAAAAAATGGCGGGATTTCAAATATTTCATTGCCTAAAAATAAGATGTTTCCACTCATAACCTGGAAAGAACAGGCAATTTGTCTTCAAAAGTTGCAAGCTGTGGTTATAACCTTGTGGTTTCTTAATTTTCTCGAAGAATACCTCATAGTAAAACGGACTTTAACGACATCAATTTCCTTGCGTTGTACTGGAAATGTGCATGCGTAGGTCCGATTTTTTTCAAGATGCATTCACAAAATGTGTTCATATAAGGAAGTTCCTGGATATATAAGGTCCGGAGCTCCACTGTGGACACAAAAACAACATATCTTTGGACAGTGATTTGCCCAAAAAAATTAACGCTTGCCCACAATGTGTTTGAAGGCACTGAACTTGTCGCACTCGAGCTGATATTTTAAAACCCTCGCTCGATCAGACACTCGTAGTTTCGCAGATAACTAAAATATAAACAAAATCCTCAATGTAGAAGTTATTGCGTTGATATGCGGGCAGAAAAAAGGTCAATCTTTATCTAGTAAAATCTTCCCAAAAATCGGTTTTAAAGGAACTATAGTTTATTTCTAAACTTGATCGTTTCGCGTACTAAGAGATAAATATAAACTACGCTTTGTGTTGTCAAGTTGAAAATGCATAACATCTGTCAAAAACCTACACGTAAGTAAGATTTCCTTCAAACAAAGTTAAAATTACATTATTGCAAAAACTTCTTGCTGACAATGAAGAAATGAATTTTTTGTACGAAAACAACCTACCTAAAGATCTTAAGAGCAAAAGATCAGTTGCAGTGAGCTTCGCAGCTAAACCATGATTCACCATGTAGCTTCTCCACGCTTTAATAACTCAGTGAATAACTGGTCCATGTGAGGGTCTTCATTCAAGCAAATTAAACTCAGCCAATCGTGACAAAATTCAGAAAACTGCACATAAGAAGGGTATTTGTTTTGCTCGCTTCAGACAAATCCAGCTCCAGCAATTCAGTGTTACGGGCAGAGTCAATTGTTTTGAAGTTACTGCCGGCAGTTGTCCTCTACTTCACAGCGAGTGAAATGGAAAATTTGCGTACATAAAGTTTTTTCTTACAAAGAACAGAAACTTTCACAGTGCAGTGGAAAACAAAATTATGAAGTTAAAAGGGACGAAAACTCTGACTACTTATTGTATTTGAGCAACAGAAAAATGATTCTTTTCTTCTAGAGTAAGTTTACTGGCCTTCTACCGGTATTTCCGAGAAAGTTTTACGGCGCACAAAATGGTTCTTTGACTGAAGAGAAGGATAAAGCAGGTTCTACAAAGGGAATAAATCTGGGCATGTGAAAAAGTATTTACTAATTTAAAAAAAAGTGCATTTTAATTCAGCCCGGCAAAAGAAGGCGAAATCAACTCACAAATAAATCGAATGAACAATCAAAAAAGATACTCGCCTCTTTGGAAATGTTCAAAACTCTTTATTCCACCTCAGACTGACGGAATGATCCGTTTTTCCTTTAACATTGGTTGTTCCGAGTCCAAAGTAATTTTCAAGTGACGAAAAACAAAAACCACACAAAAGTAAAAAGGCTTTTCGAGGAGCAAACGTTCACACCTTGCATTTCATTCAGTCTTAGTCAGAACTCTCTCAGTGACAAACAAACAAACTGTAGTCAGCACTGTAGTCAACACACAGAAAAGCCCGCCTTGAGCCTGCGATAAAGGATGCGCAGAAGCTTGCGCAGAACGTTTTTCCGCCCTGAAGACAAATGCTTACTGTAACAATACAAATGGATCGTACAACTGCACTTGTCATCCAGGATATAGCGGCAATGGAAAATCGTGTACAGGTAATTAAACCAGAAAAGAAAATGCATTTGGTAGCTGTTGGCCAGCCCAGGCTTTCGCAACACGCGGTTCCTCGCGCGGTAGTAACTACTTTCGCTCCCTTTCAGTCATGTGACCAAGCTATTAAGAGTTCCAATTATGCTCACGAATTCAGCGCTGGCTTAAATGTTTGTTATTGCTCGCGTTTATGGCATTTCATTTGGTCTCCTCCGTGGACGTTTAGGCTGACAAGGTTTGTAATACTTTGTATTTTTGTTTCGTTAGTTTTCATTATTTCATATTTTCCTTTCTTTGGTCACGTTTGTATTTGCGTTACCTTTTTGCACATTTTTGCATTGCCTATAATTAGCACTTTTATTGCTAGAAGACAGCAAACATAACAGCCATAACTACATTCTGATTTGTTTTATTATTATTATTATTATTATTATTATTATTAAGTTGAAAGGTGGATAATTGGGTTGGCCAGGTAGTGAAACTGTCCAGGTAGTTGCAGCTGTGGGCGTCGGTTGTACACTCATTGACATCTACTTAACGAAAAAGAAATGCTAAGCCTGAATAAAATACATTTAACAGAAAGAAAAAATAAAGACAATATTTTGCTGACTCAAGCACATTAAAAAGGAGCTAAAAGCTGAAATCATTTCGAGACAATAAATTTAAAAGGCCCGTTGCAGCTAATCATCTACGTTGTCCAAAACCGCCATGCTGCAGATAAGTCGCAAGAAATACATCAAAGTTACCATGTTGCCATGGTAACTTTGATGTCAATAAAACATGGATCATAACAAATGTTCATCTTTATCCAGTGCAGCTGTGGTAACCTTTTTGCGTTATCTTTGTTAATGCCGACGTGGTAAACGCTCAAAGTGGGGAAGTATACTCCTTAAAAATGCAGTCGAGCCACCTTACCTCACGAGGAACACGGGATGCTTACTACAAATCCAAATTTATCAACAGTATTGTAGAACAAATTTAGAAACTTAAAGAATCTTAATTAATAATGATTCGGAGAAACATAAACATGTAAAAACTAGCGAAAAAAAGATCCGAAGTTTCGGCGACATCATGACATTATCGAGGAATAGAAATAAAAGCGAGCTCAAAAGAATTAAAGTACTCTACAAATGGCATGAATGAACACAGCTAGCTAAAGACTTTTGTTGCCGAAAGGTCGAAACAATTATTTTGTTTGTTTGTTTGTTTGTTTTTTTTCCTTTTTTACATTGTTTTGTACAAAGAATCTTAAAACTATTATTGACAAAACCACAAAAAAAAGTAGTACCACCCACTGAGTAAGAATTTGACAATTACCGAGACACGCTTGACCATTTGCAAAGTACCCAGGACTGCAGCTGCAGTTGTATGATCCCATGTTATTGTTACAAATCGCATTCCTATCACATGAATAGATACTTGTTTCACACTCATCAATATGTGTCCCAAAATAAATATGTTTTAGTTAACGGTTGTTTCAATAACAACATATGCATTTAATACAGTATATTCATTAACTTACACTGTATGCATTCATAATAATAATACAATAATAATGAGGATGAGGATGAGGGTGAGGATGATGATGACGATGATGATGATGATAAATTAAATACAACCAATAAGACAGTTACGGATTATCAAAATTCACTGTTGGCCTCGAGGTTGAGAGGAATACATTCAGAACCGCGACAAACGCTCTCGAAACGGTTGGACGATCCTTATCAGTCTACCATTTCAACTAGAATAAGTCGGGGGGCTTTAGGGGGAAGTGGAAATTATATTAATTGAAACCTGTCGTAATGTTAAACTGGGGGGAGGTTGAATGTTAACTTTTTGCTTCGCAGGCCTCTTTTATTTTTGCTTGAATTACTATTAACCCCTATCAGTTTGAGCAGGCAGGCATTGTGGTTCACAAAGGATAACTTTTGCTAAAGAAAAAGTCCTGCTTTCGCAGAAATTTCTCGAGATTTCATTCTTTACTACATTTGATTCGATATTCACCAGCGCATGTTTTTCCATTTCCGGTATATCCAGGTCTGCAAGTACAACTGTGTGATCCGATGGCATTTTCACACTCTGCGTGGATGGCGCATGAATGGGTATTACTTGTACACTCGTTAACGTCTAAACAATAACAGAATAAAAGTACACTGACGTTAGGTAGTTGCTTTCCAACTTGAATACTTTAGTTAGACTGTATGCTTAGACAAAAAGCTCAGTTGTTTAAAAGATCATTAAAATACACACACCCATAAGGAAATAAACCAAGCCGACATAAATCAACCGATAGACGAATGTGAAAGACGAATATGCAGACAGGCGGGCGTGGCCAGACAGATGGAAAAACAGTCTGTCACACACACACAATAGAATATTAGTCAACTGTATAGCACATTAATTATTTAGTACGACCCTAATAGGGATGTTAGTAATGTTCTAATGATTACCAGTGCATATTTTTCCATTTCCAGCGTATCCGTGATTGCAGATGCAGATGCTGGACCCCTCCGTAGTTTTACAAACGGCATTTCTGTTACACAACTGAGTGCTTGTTGCACAGTCTTCAACATTTAACTTCAGTTTACATGATGAGGATTTGTAAAATGGAATTTTCATGGAATTTTCAGTTTTGTCTCATTATGTAAATTTTCTATAAAATAATAATTCTCTCATAAGACATTTTCTTTTATTTTTTTTTTACTTCACAAAAAATTGACACTTTCAAAGCGTTCGTTTTGCGTAAAATGTTTTTTTTTAATATTGAAAAGCTAACTTCTTGTGTTTATGCCGTAAACGTTTCTGAAAGGTTCAAAAAATGTGACCGAGAAGTAATACTGTAATAATAATAATAACAATAATAATAATAATAATAATAAAAGGTAGATGAAATAATAAATAATGAAGATGATGATGGCAAACAAATTTTTTTCTGTTTTAATTGATAATGATGAAGGCCTGTTCCGAGTTCCTAGGTGCAAAATCTTTCTTCTGAAAATGAGTTTTATTTGCATGAGAATAAAAACTAATTTTAATATCAATAGCTTTGCACGTCATATCCTTGCATTAAATGACACAAAGGTTTCAGGCAACCCGGAAATGGCCTATTATTCTGCAGCAGTTCAGTTCCGCGGATTATGCTAATTTACTGGAATTATTGATTGCTCACTTGAAAACCAAACTGTTGCAATTTTAAGGCTTGTAAACGCCAACAAAAGACAAAATAATTATCCCATCCATACTGTTCTTACATGGTCAAGAATTTGACAACATAACCTAAGAATAGTATCATACAAAGAGTCTTGAATCATAACTTTAACATGTGTTGAACAGCCTTAACAAAAATTAGACTTGCAAAATCGAAAAACAATAATTCATTAAGAGTACAAATGCCTCTCTATCATACCCCTGCAAAAAGATTGGATATTGATCTAATTGAGTTAATTTTTCTACATTAAGTCTCACGAGATATATGATCCTAGGAACAGCCGGGTTCAAGAGGAAAGATTTAAAGACCATGCCAAGAATAAACTGCTGAACTTGCATTCTTTCCAGGTGTTCATAAGAAAATTGCATAATTATTCTGAGATCATCTCCGCATACATTTTTATTTCAAAAAGTGCTCCAAACGTTAATGGAGACAAAGTCAATCATCTCTGTAGGTAGTTACCGTACATGTATATTCTTAATTTGTAGAGGGGTTAGCTTGGTCACAAACTAGTGGCGACGAATTGTACCCACAAAAACGCCACAATCCCGGTCATAATTTGTTGAAACACTTCCGGAAAACACAGCATAAACTTAGTCGTTCATAAATACACTTATTACTTCCCTCCCCTTCCCTCAATGTTGGTTTCACGCGTTTGCTTGGGCAAAAACGTCTTCCAAATCAACATTGAAAGGAAAGGGAAGGAAAAGCTCGCAAGCGTTTCAACAATTTATTATGACCGGGATTGCCTTTGCTGTAGTGAAAGGTGCAATATCTGAAAACGGACGATTTTAAAAGTGGACGTTGAGAGATGTAACCACAGGGTGCCCACACAATAGGTTTGTGTAGCCGATTGTTATTTTATTGTAAATGTACTGGATTTACCGTTTGCTTCACCTACAGCGATATATCGCTAACTATGTATATAAATCAATGATAAATAAACGTTGAATTACCTTACCTGTGGTGTATAGTCGTCCTTTTGCCTCAAAAGCGGTTTTTTGAGCGATTTTGAATGAATTTGAGTTCGCCGTTGACTGTTCCATAGAATAGAAGGACATGGAACAGTCAACGGCGAACTCAAATTCATTCAAAATCGCTCAAAAAACCGCTTTTGAGGCAAAAGGACGACTATACACCACAGGTAAGGTAATTCAACGTTTATTTATCATTGATTTATATACATAGTTAGCGATATATCGCTATAGGTGAAGCAAACGGGAAATCCAGTACATTTACTATAAAATAACAATCGGCTACACAAACCTATTGTGTGGGCGCCCTGTGATGTAACATGAGTTTAGACTTCAGAAATCACTATTTAAAATTGTATTGGGAAAGAAGTATATCGTGCAGCAGAGTTTCAAAGTTACAACAAATTACAAGCGGTACAATTTACTGTAATTATCGTCTCTAAAACAGTACAAGCTCAGCTATCATTTCGCAAATGATCAGAAGCAAGTGTGTTATATATACTTTATGTAAATCTACGATGGGTGAATTTTTAGCTCATAGGGAAGTTTTCTTGTCATATAAAAATCTCAGTAGCTTCTGAGTTGAAATAAAGGAGTCGGCCAAAGTCTATATCAAAAAGGAGTGCTGGTGGATGCGTGGAATGCGATGGCGTACGACTATTGAAATTTTAGTCGTTTCAGAGTGCGTGACAAACAAAGGGAGTCTGGTTTCCGCCTCTGCTTAAATTAATGAAAGCTCGGCCAATTTCACAATGTTTTCGGTTTCTTTTGTGGACGTCACCTACAGCCGAGAAAAAACCCTGGGAAGAATGTTTAAAAATTTTTAATGGACAATTTCTCAACGGTGAACCATGGTGAACCGTTCGTTTACAAACTGTTGTGTTTACTTTTTAAGAATACGGTTCGCAATGTGAACCGTTGAAATATCCTCAACTACACTTTGTTGAAGGCGGAACGTTAACCGAAGAGACCATATAAAGTGTTTCCATTGCTTTTTCATCAGTGGTTGATAGATCTACGCGCTTGCTGGGTGGTAAACTGTCCAAAAGCTTCTTGAATTCACTTCACCACTGTACAGTCGTGCTTTAAGCAGTCTATAAATAACTCAATTACGTGGTCATTTTCTGCGAGGTGGACTTTTTTTCTCCTATACTGAAACTTAGGAAAGTGTTTTAACAGTAATCATCTAGTCTGGTTGGTTTTAGGCGACAGTTAAATACACTGTGAATTTGTAGAAACTGTGATACCACAGAGTAAAAAAGGTGCGCAATGTTTTAAAATATGCCGTACCATCCTCAAAGGTTTCGATAACCTCACAAAAATAAAAAAAAGGGCTCACCTTTAAAGTTGGATGTTTTGATTAACACTCTGTGTTAGCAGATTCAGATAGAAATTGCTCTTTTTGGTACTCTTTGCGTCAACATATCTTTCCTTCATTCATACAACCACCAATTATCATATAAGACCACACACAGTCATAAATTAAGACATCATCCTCGGAGACCCAGTGGCAGATAGTGGGGGCGAGGGAAAGTCTAAACGGGCGGAAAAATATGGCACGAAGAAAAGTAAAGAACGGCGAGAAGAGCCCCTGGGGACAATGTCTTACCAGACCGGCTCCAAACGGTCGCCGCCGTTCTGCCTTTTGATTGGACAGAACAACACAAAAGTTTTCTGGAACCAATCAGAAGCCAGAACGGCGGCGACCGTTTGGAACCGGTCTGGTAAGACATTGTCCCCAGGGGCTCTTCTCGCCGTTCTTTACTTTTCTTCGTGCCATATTTTCCCACCCGTTTAGACTTTCCCTTCCCCCCGCTATCTGCCCCTGGGTCTCCGAGGATGTAAAGACATTTGCAGTCTCTGAAAATTTTTGTCTAGTCTGTCTCATATGGTTAGCTTTAATTTCTCCCGCAAAAGTCTCGGATTTTCATGCCACTAACCATTTTACTATCTTGCAAATTACCGCGAGCGATATCTCACGTATATTAGTTAGGTATAAGACTCGCTTCCCATCCTACCTTGTATAGTTCCTTCTTCTGCTCCTTGTTTTGAAACAGCTGGAGTGTTTCGAGGCCACTTTATCGTGATTATGAAAACCAAACTGACTACCGCCGTCAGGAAAGTTATGACCACAGCGACAACGATCAGGAGCTGCATTCGTTGGATTTTCCGGACATCTTTTCGCGAAGCATTTAACGTCTTTGGTGGCGCTTGTCTTCTGTTGCTGCCATCTTGATTGGTATTTCCAATATTAACTCTTTGTACCACTACATCAGTCGCAGACTCGTCCTCGACGACGTTTTCATATACTTCACCGACTTTAATTCTTGTTTTGGGTTGCAGCTCGAGGCAGACTTTCTCTGGCCCTGTTGGTGTCAACGTCTTTGGTGGCGCTTGTCTTCTGTTGCTGCCGTCTTGATTGGTATTTCCAATGTTAACTCTTTGTACTCCTACATCAGTCGCAGACTCGTCCTCGACGACGTTTTCATATACTTCAGCGACTTTCATTCTTGTTTTGGGTTGCAGTTCGAGCTAGACTTTCTCTGGCCCTGTTGATGTCGCATACATGGTGGTCAGCCCAATGAGTTATTTAATTTAACTCACCTTCAAACGGCTGAACGCTTTCAAAACTAGTAGCAAATTTTAAGCACTTCTTTCATGGTCCAACGCATTTTATCAGCACATGCCTTATAAATAGCTTTTAAAATAAGATGTTAGTAAATGTCTGCTAAAAGAAACGTAATAAGACAATATTTTAGCACGAGGATCGCGATTAAAACATACAAACGGACAAAGTAAAAGAACAAATAAAAGAGAACATGAAGATTTGAAGACTACAATGGCCTCCTGGCTAAAATTTTCTCCAGTAGTTTTTTTTCCTTAAGTTCCTTATTCTATAGCGATAATGCGATTCAGTTATACGGATGTTACGGGGGATTCCAATTTGTTATGCTTAGTTAGTGATGCGCAAGTGGCTTATGAAAGGTTGTATTTAAATGGCGGCGCTTGGGTTGCAAACGATGACCAGCGCTAAGAATCTAAAGATATTTAACCTGCGTGGAACGCTTTGTGATTAATGTAGACAACAGGAACATAAATTCTTGCATCTAAATGCAAAATAAGACTATTTTCACCTTTTTGTCTGGGAAAAAATGTTGTAATCAGATAATTTGAACTAAATTTCAAAGGAATTTAAGGTCTCGGTAAAGGAAAACGAGGTGCCGACAGAAAAAAATTCTAGCCGCGCGAGTATTTTCGCTACAAAGGCAAGTTATATATCAAATCAAAGCTTAAAGACTACTAAATTACCTTATAAAAGATTTTATTTTATCGAATTTCAAAAGGCGCCTAATTTTTTTGCTCTCGAACTCAGAGGTATCGAGTTTACTGCTGAAGCTCCAGCCCTTTCGCGTTGTTAAATATTCACTTCCTTTTTATTGCATCTGATTGACTGATAAAAGACCTAAAAAAGGGTGTGAGGAAATTTGCATATGTCTCGTATTAGCGGAATTATTGCATTTCAAACTAAAAAGTCGAATCTCGAGCGCAATTTACGCAAAGAAACTGACATAAAATGAGTTACAAAGAGAAATCGGAAAGTTCCTCACACCCTTTTTTAGGTCTGTTATCTGTCAATCAGATGCAATAAAAAGGAAGTGAATATTTAACAACGCAAAAGTGCTGGAGCTTAAGCAGTAAACTCGATACCTCTGAGTTCGAGAGCAAAAAACTTAAGCGCCTTTTGAAATTCGATAAAATAAAATCTTTTATAAGGTAATGTACTCTTTTAGCTTTAATTTGATATATAACTTGCCTTTGTAGCGAAAATACTCGCGCGACTAGAATTTTTTCTGTGGGCACCTCGTTTTCCTTTACCGACACCTTAAGTACAGCATTTGCATCTTTCGCATATTTCATTTGACACAAATGTGGCTTTTATGAACTTTCGTAGACTGAAGAAATCCAAATACTATTTTTAGGTCTCTCTCGATTGTCGCTACGTCAGTAGCAAAGAAATAGAAGTTGGTAGGCAGGTTAAACTTCGGCAAAAAGTAAAGCATATATATATATATATAGGAAATAGGAAAAAAACTACACTTTCATCCCGACAAGCCTGTTTCGTGATCGCTCACTCTTCAGGGGATTTAATGATAAGAATATTCATTAAATCCCCTGAAGAGTGAGCGATCACGAAACAGGCTTGTCGGGATGAAAGTGTAGTTTTTTTCCTATTTCCTATATTTATATATCACGCTCTACTTTAACGTATCGAGCACTTTACTACGGAAAAATCGTAACACAGGCTTCATATATATATATATAGGAAATAGGAAAAAAACTACACTTTCGTCCCGACATGTTTCGTGATCGCTCACTCTTCAGGGGATTTAATGAGCGATCACGAAACAGGCTTGTCGGGATGAAAGTGTAGTTTTTTTCCTATTTCCTATATTTATATATCACGCTCTACTTTAACGTATCAAGCACTTTACACTTTACTTGCACTTGCGTTGCAAACGATGACCATCGCTAAGAATCTAAAGACAATCAATTAACTTGCGAAAAACGCTTTGTGACTAATGTAGACAACAGGGAACATAAATTCTTGCTTTTAATTGTAAAATACGACTATTTTAAAATTTTGTGTAGGAAAATATGTTGTAGTCACAAAATTTGAACTAAATCTCAAAGGAAACTATGTAGAGCATTTGCGGAATTTTTCACATATTTAATGTGACGCAAATGTGGTTGGTTTTATGAACTTCCACAGAGGAAACAAAACCAAATTTTGTTTTTTAGGCCTCATTTGATTGCCCCTGTCTCAATAGTAAAGAGATAGAAGTAAGCAGTTTAAATTTCAGTTAAAACAACGTCTATTTGAACTCACACCCACTGACCTCGGTCGTTTTGCTGGTACAGCGTCCTCACACACCGTTTACCCTTACTTTTTTCCTTTTGCTTTTGTTTTCTGAATTTGCAGCTTGCGTTGCAAACGATAACCAGCGCTATGAATCTAAAGATAATTTAACCTGCATTTAACCGCTTTGCGATTAATGTAGACAACGCGTACATACACAATCAAGAAGCAAAAGTTGCTAGTTTTAGTTTCATCCAATAGCGTCTTCTCAGAAACTAGCTGTGTCGTAGTAGAGCAGTAATTTAAATAAATAATTGTGTGTGGGGATTCCACAATAAGCGCAATTGTCTGTCATTGGTCATTTCCTTTAAAAGTCAAATGAGGTCACTGCGCTCTCCTTAACAACTTAAACCAATGAAATATTTGCTTCTCGTGAGAGGCTTTTACTAGGTAGGCAAGTGATGTGTCAAAAAATTTTGTACAGCCGTTTAAATGGCTACAACGTTTTTATTCCCCATTCCTCTTAGAACTATTGAAAAAAACCCAGCACAGTTATAATTTTTCATGAAAGTTGTTAGGCTTTGTTAGGTTTTGCAAATATTCTACTTTGTCGTGCTATTTCCGGACACTTTTTACATAAAATGTGATGGGCTAGAGATGACACCACCATTTAGAAATTTCAATTTGTGTAAGACAACCATTAAGTTTCGACGACAGTCTCCACATAATTTTCCCATTTTGTCATAATAGCGAGGACAAATTGAAAAAAGGGAGCAAAACATTACGTGTGTGATTGTCTGGGAAAATATGGCCACCTGTCCGAAAAATAGACCGCGTTTTATACAAGACTTGAAACAGGGACGATAAAAAATTCCATACAGATAATTCGTTGTCCAGTGTGGTACGTGGCTGAAAGCTTTAACTTATTAGATAATAACTATATTTATCCTCCAATTACAGGTCGGAGCCATTTCTGTATTTAGTCGCTCGTCAAGTACGAACGCTGCCGCCATGTTTGTACAAGAGGCGCAAAGCATGATGGACTAAAGAGCCACCCACGACCCACCCCCCGACAGATGGTCTTGATCAACGATCACTGAAGCGTGAACGAAAATTCAGAAGTCGTGATGAAAATTTTGAAGGTCGAGTTTGAAATATGACTCGGCAAGTGTAATTTGATGAAGTGAGTTGAAAATATACGGCGAGCAAGGTCAAATAAAAGAGTTGAGTTCAAAAAATAAAAGACGAGTGTAAAAACGTTTTCCAATGGTGCAAAATCTGAAGAAAGAGTGTAAAATTTAATAACGGAGCTCCGCGCGCGAAGCGCGCCAGCGGAGCACTATGGGTAAATAAATCTACCCATCCCAGACGTGACCGACCGACCGAGCGACCGACTTTCCGTCCGCACCACAGGCATACCAATGATTACTGTCACATTTTCTAGCTACCTTGGGAGCCGAGGAGAAAGCTGACTGCACATCAATATTGTGGTCAATTGATAGCTGTCAAAACAGGGTACCCGCTGACCAGTATCACCTGACCGTATCGCGGGCTCAGGTGTCGACTCTTCAAGGTCCAGTATTTTTTGAAGTTATTCGCTGACAATTTACTCTTTTTTAGATGATCGCAGGCTCAGTTTTTTTTTAATTCATATCAAATATGTTGTGTTTATGTACTATCGCCCAGCACTATTACGGTTTTGATTTCAAACTGACCTCAGACGCAAAAATTCAGCCAGTTTTTTTAAAATACAGGCGGGGAAGACATTTTCTTACCATGGTCACGTGTTGGTCACGCTCCACGTCCAATTTTTATGCTCTGATTGGTTAAAATTTGACAGGTGAGTTCATGCGTAAAATTTATGCAGCATATCTTGAAAGTTGTTTACTTTGACAGCTGAAGCTGACAGAGTTTTGAGTCAACTTCTGATGCTTTTAACTGTCTTTTTCCACTGAATGTACAAAATGAAATACAGCTGCTATCAAGAGTCTTCTCTTATTCATGGCTGGTTAGTTTGTTGGGTTTTTGGTTGAGAAATGCGTCGCTTGTCAAAGCCGATTATCCAATTTCGGATGGCATCGTTTTTGTTTTTCACCTTGCTGGATGCGTACGAGAATTATAAAGGCTCAAGCAATCCTTGCCTTACTTGATACCTTTCAGGAGCTGCATCTCGAAATATGGTAAGCCTGAGTAATTACTGTATTTATATCTAATTTCATGAAGTCGAGCGCAGTTTATGAAGCTAGTTTATGCGCGTTTGTATTAAGATTTGACTGCGACACTGATCTGTCCAAGTATGAGGTTTGATATAAGTTCACAAAATGCTGAAAATTGGTTCAAACCAGCGATGTGAACAACGTGATGGTGAGCGATCGAAAGGGGGCGAGCACATGGAAAAGCGCCCCTAAGAATGCGAATGGTATAGTCCAGAACGCCCTAAATTCTGATTGGCTGGAAATAAGATAGGCTTGGAAACTGCCGCCTTGGCCTACAAACCATTATCAAATGCCTTGCCATAAAATCCCATTATGATGTCGTCATAACGGTGTCTTTTAAAAAGCCTTTGGTCGATATAAATTCACCGTAAATAGAAAGAAAAAACTTTCTGAAGAATATTTAGTGTTAATTGGCTGTAGAAAGAAAGCTTTGAGCGATTTTTCTTGTCGCGAGTTCATCTTTGAAAACAGCAAACACCGGGAAACTGGCGGCTTAAAACATTATAAACTTAATCTTTAAGTTTATAAAAGACTTGAGGATTCTTAGAGACACCTAAATAGTTACTCATTTGTTTTCTTGAGTGAAAATTGTTGTCTCTGTAAATGTTCTACAGAATTATATTTCTTTATTGATTGATGGTAGTCTCAAAAGTGCAATTTTCATCGCTTTTGCGTTTGTTTTCAGCCGTTCATAAACATCGCTTGCCGGAGTACTCAAAATGCCGAGCGTATCAAACGCTTTTGAAGATTACACATCGTTATAAAACCATTATTAAAAAATAGAACTCAATAAATTCTCTATCGCGTTGAAGCGTAACTCTTTTAAAATTTCTTCGCAAATTTGGCGCTTGTCAAAAGTTAGAACCGGCTGGCCGTATAGGTGATTTTGGAAATTTTTTGAACTGTTTCATTAAAAGTCCACGCGTGCTTCGATGGTCCTGAAAAATTGTGAAATACTGCATTTTGTAGAGGTCTGTATGATATAAACAGCGCCTCATAGTACTCTTTCTCCTCAGATGTGGTGTATAAAAAAAAAGCAAAAGGTTGGTTTGCACGCACCCAGATTTATTGGCAAGAATTTGTAAAGTAAACTTGTCGAATGCAAAAAATTCGGCCTGATTTGTTTTCCACGCCTTATCTACTGTGATCAAGACTAAATCAAGAGCCATTATTGCTCTTAAATGTGAACGACGACTACTTTTTGTGTGTACATATAAGGCTATATCAACTCGATACAAGATTTGTTTCACTCCAAAATGACTTAACTTTTCCCACAAAAGTCACATGAATGTGCCCTTAAGTTAACTGATTTGTGGAATATAAGAGTTATTGTTTGATTTAAATTATAAATTTATCAATGGGAGCTTCGCTTTTAGCCGTGGCTAAATCTATATATTATTCGGCTATAAAATTCAAGTAGGAATTTAAATGATGAATTTAAAATTCAAACAATGAATTTTCAATTGGCAGGGATCGTACTACTTGAATTTTATAGCCGAATATAAAATTTTACACTCTTCCTTCAGATTTCGAACCATTGGAAAACGTTTTTACACTCGTCTTTTATTTTTTAAACTCAACTCTTTTATTTGACCTTGCTCGCCGTTTTTTTCAACTCACTTCATCAAATTACACTTGCCGAATCATATTTCAAACTCGACCTTGAAAATTTTCAACACGACTTCTGAATTTTCGTTCACACTTCAGTGATCGTTGATCAAGACCATCTGTCGGGGGGTGGGTCGTGCCCAAACCTTTATTGCAAGGAACTGAGTAATCAGAAACCTACGGCGAATACAGTTCGCAATACAAGAAGGACGACTTTATGCTGAGTAAGGGTAAGCATACCCTTGCAGATACGAGATAGTCCGTCGCCACTCTTCCCCTATTTGTGCGCCAGATTTCATAAATCTGTTAGCGTTGTATTTTAAGGTTAAATTTGACCAGCAGTTTGTGCAGCGAGTTCTACGGTCACGATTGACTTTAGACTTGTAGATATAAAACTAGAGAGATCCAAGGCTTATTTGCTGAAGTTAGAGAAAGATCTGTCGTAGACTTTACAAGTTACTGACATTTTTTGTAAAAATGTGGTTGTAAAAATATGCTGATATCTCGAGCGTTGTTATACCCACAAATAAATAACTCTTTCTTAAAGTTGCATCATTCTTAATTAAGGTCATTCCCCTGAAATAGAACTTAACATAGATTTTTTCTCAAATTTTGTCTATTAACTATTCATCATACTGGGACTTCAAAATCAAAATAAAAAAGGGGGGTGCCGGTATTCGTTTACGAGCTGCGAGGGCTCAAACATACCCCCTTTGAGGCAATTTTCGAAACTTCCGGTTTGCTGCCTTGCACCATGGACTATATCAATAATTAGGCCTGATAACACTCAGAATACTATTGATTGTGCGAAATAAGGTTATACACATTTAGAGTTGGACAAGAGTAACACTTTCAAAAGGCTTTTGGTACGAAAACGCATACGTCGAGGAAGCACTTCCCTTAAGTTTGTTACCATGGTTACCATAATTTAATTGAAAAAATGGGTTTTGGCTTTATACTTTCATTTATATCTTTTTTTTCTGAACATAGGAAATTGTCCATTCTTTTTGTGTAGGCAGCCTATTGGTTGTAAAGTCAAACAAGCGAAAAAAAGAAGGGGGTGCCGGTATTCGCTTGGAAGCTATGCCATCATTTTCTGTTCCCAGGTGGGCAGGCCCATTTCTCTTTCCAGGAAAAAAACATCGTAAATTTAACTGTACTTATTCGTATAGATCTAATTTTTGGTTGGTAAGTGACAGGTTAAAGGGATGCTTTATCTGGGCTCCCGATTGAGGACAAAATGATGAAAAATGGTTGCCATGGCAACCAAATTAAAGTTACTTTGGTACAATAAAAAGATCAAGCAATACTGAATCTGACACTTTAATATGACACTTTAATTAAAAATGGTAAATTTCCTTCCCACCACAAGCTAGCCCAATCGATTTTGAAACGCAAATTTCCCTCCGTACATAAGCCCCTCCGAATATAGGCCCCTCCTAAAATAAGCCCCTCAAAAAGGGCCTTTGAAAAATACAAGCCCCGGGGCTTATTTTCGGAATTTTGGTGACCCGTACAAGAGACCAGGAGACAGTGAATGAGCTAAATAAAATACTAGCATTATTAATCGACAACAATGAGTCATTCATTTAATTTATAGAGGTATTGACTTTTTGACTAAAGTAAATAAAACGAGACTATTTTTTTTCCTAGGAGAAGGGTCTATGATTGGGCTATCTTCAGGCAAGGTGGTGGGCTAGCTACAGCGCAAGGACGAAGAGACGTGCAGTATGTGAGACAGCTAAGAGAAATGGCAAGGAACCGTGGTCACATGACTGTCGGATGAACTGGACAGCTTCCACCAAGGTCCTCACAGAGAAATTTAGCGGCAGGGCAAGAATCACAATTAACAAGAGAATTCTTGAGAGCATTTCCAGTTGCTTTGCAGACAAGTAAAATGTAAATCCCTAATATGGGAATGTAAACAAGAAAACGATAAGTTATGACTTACGCTCACCCGTACACACATTTCATGTAAGCCGATGTCAAATGTCACAATAGATCTTGCACAACTTGACTAGCCTCTTAGTTATGTAAGCCATCCATATGAGGACGATTAGATTGACAGCTGTCAAAATGAGACATCCGCTGACAATTATCACATGACCATCTCGCGGGCTCAGATGAAAGGCCAGTCGTTTTGCCCCTACATGTAAGCTGATATAATATGTCACACTTACCAATTCAACATAAAAACGAAACTACGCCGGGCAAGGCTGTCAGTTGGCTGACAGTTGTTTAAAGTTATATTGGCAAGCCAAATTAAGGTCAATTTACAGCTGTCAAAATGGGACATGTGCAGACCACTATCAGAAAACTAATGACGTGGGCTCAGGTTCGCCCAGGTACACGATCTGGCATTTTCCACTACATGCCGGACGGATATGTCTTACTCACATTCGTAGTCTGTTAATTCGAATATTCGCCATTCTAATGAGGTTTAATTGACAGCTGTCAAACTAGATTATACGCTGACCATCATCACCTGAGTGTATCGCGGGCTCATTTTTTCTATCCATTAAGGTCACGTAGTGTTTAAAGTTTTGCGCATGCCACATTATGATGCAACAGCTAATGCAAATACAATACATGAATAGGTCTTTGTTTTCCAGGCCTAATGTACTGTGATCGAACATGATTGCTATCTTGGGTGTAAAAATAAGACTATTTAATAACTCGATGTAAAATTTGTTTCACTCTTGGACTGTCAAATTATTTTTCTCTAAAATCACTTAGCCTTTGCCTCAAAAGTCAAATGAATGTGCCCTGATCTGTGGATTGCAAGTTTATTGTTTGATTTAAATTATGAATTTCTAAACGAGAGCTTCGCTTTTAGCCCGGGCTAAATCTATATATTAATATTATTGTTAAAGGAAATCAAATGTTAAATTGCCTGACTGCTGTTGGATGGAAATTTTGTCGTCTAGGGTAAAAATAATAATTAATTTTAACTTCTAGAGCTGCTATTTCATTATCTTGTTATTATTGTTATTATAGCAAAAGAAAAAACCGTTGTGAATTAGTTAAATATTGTATTTTAAAATGGATAAACAGACATAAACATATGGATGCCATGCAAGCAAAGCAAAAATGCCTCCATTATTTCTTAGCTTTATGTATATTATAGGACTAACCTGTCAAACTATTGTGGCCCTTTCCCCTCTTCTGCGTACTCATGTCGTACGATACCCCGATTTTTACAACTTGCTCTGTGTCCACGGTCCTCCGACAATCTTTCTCCAACTGTAATCCTTCTAAACATGAATTCCTTGCAACAGTCTCAATCGCTGCGCCAACTTCTCTTTCTCTGGCCTTCAGAGTGTTTTGTCCCACGGCTGGAAGGTTTATCGACGTGAGCAGTGCGTTTACATACCGGCGTGTAACATTCCTGCACATAAACACAGTACATGTACATTTAAAAGTTAGTTATTACACGGTATTATGATTGTTAAATTATGATGAAGCTCGGAAAAATGTTCGGATAAAAGCTGCTAATCAAATAAATATACCTACCTGTGGCAAGTTTGGTCTTTTTATGAAAAATTGGTCGGCCGCGACCAGCACCGGCGGCACGATGCGATGTTTGTGGTTCACGCATTTACCTCTCCACATTCCGGATCGCTGCACATAATATACAAAAAACTACCCAACCCAGAGATAGTCTCATCATGGCAGTTTGGTAGCTGAAGTGCTTTTCCACACGCTCTGCAACCACTATCCAGGGCCAGGACGTCTAACTCGATTACTCGTCTGCCTCGAAAGTTGCAGCTGCCGTCTTCGATGCATTTCTTTTTTGTGCTAACGCCTCCATCACCTTTCACATTACAACACTTCCTTGTCCAAATATTTTTTAACTTCTCTCGTCTTCCCTTTTCTTTTGAACTTAGAAAAAAACCTTTTTTATCTCTCGACTTGGTGCCGACGCGACGCCGACGGTAGCCATCTTGAAAGATTGCGTGACTAGTATTACAATCCTATGCGCAGTACAGATGCGCAATGCAATTCAGGGGAATGACCTTAAGGATGCCAAAAATCATAGAAAGTGGTTAAATCATTCCCGCCGAAA